TTTATTTTTTTGTGATACGCGGGCCTCTCACTGTTGTGGCCTCTCCTGTTGCGGAGCACAGGCTCTGGACGCACAGGCCCAGCGGCCATGGCTCACGGGCCCAGCCGCTCCGTGGCATGTGGGATCTTCCCGGACCGGGGCACAAACCCGTGTCCCCTGCATCGGCAGGCGGACTCTCAACAACTGCGCCACCAGGGAAGCCCAGGATTTAGCCTACTTAGAGTTTACTATGTCTTCTTAGGAAACAGCCAAGGAAGAAAGTTGAGGGTAGCCCAACTGAAATCATACAACATTGCAAAGTTGGCCCCAGACAGGACCCCCGTGTCCTGCAGCTGAAATAGCTAAATTAGATCCTAGACATTTTAGCAGCAGGTGAGAGGTTCATTCCACCCCTGAGACCATACGATACGGGGTTCATGAGTTGCTTGTTTGTCTTGAAGCCGTGAGTGTTCACTCTTTCTCATCCTTGGTGGAAGGTAACCGAGAAGGGTTCCTATGGAAGCGGGGAAGGGACAACGCACAGTTCCTGAAAAGGAGGTTTGTGCTCCTGGCAAGAGAAGGCCTCCTGAAGTACTACACTAAAGAAGAGGTAAGTCTTCTCTTACTCCTCCCAGAGCGCTGGCTCTCACCCCACTCAGGTCTACATTTTTATTTATTTATTTTATTTTTGGCTGCGTTGGGTCTTCGTTGCCGCACGCGGGCTTTCTCTAGTTGCGGTGAAGGGGGGCTACACTTTGTTGTGGTGCGCGGGCTTCTCATTGCGGTGGGTTCTCTTTTTGCGGAGCACGGGCTCTGGATGCGTGGGCTTCAGTAGTTGTGGCACGTGGGCTTCAGTAGTTGTGGCGTGTGGGCTTCAGTAGTTGTGGCTTTTGGGCTGTAGAGTGCAGGCTCAGTAGTTGCTGTGCACGGGCTTAGTTGCTCCGCGGCATGTGTGGTCTTCCCAGACCAGGGCTTGAACCCGTGTCTCCTGCACCGGCAGGCGGATTCTTATCCACTGCACCACCAGGGAAGTCCCAGGTCTACATTTTGATCAATAGTGCCTGGTCTTGTGTATGAGCTCAGCCACTGAGACTTAGGTACCACACGCGGCTACTTTTCCTTGTTATACAATCCATCCAGTCCACTAAAAAGCACACCTTCTCTTCACCTAGAATGGGCTTAGACTGGTCCATGATTAAGCCTTTGATGATCACTTGATTTTTACTTCATTTATTTATGTACTTAAGAAATATTTATTGAGCACCTACTATGCTAGACCTTAGTCCAGGAACTGGGGATACAGCAATAAACTAAGCGAAGTTCCTGTCCTCCTGGGGCTTCCATTCTAGTGGATGGAGACAGGTGTAACCAAAACATACATCAATACATAATCTATCCAGTGGCAATAAGTTATATGAAGTAAAATAAAAGAGGGTGAAGAGTTAGAGCGTGGGGTAGAGGGAGGTGCTACCACAGGTGGTCAGGGGAGGCCTCTCTGATGACATTTGAGCAGAGAACTGAATAAATGTGAGTTCTGTGGATTTGTGGGCGAAGGGTAGAAGAAGTAGAGGGAACAGTATGTACAGAAGCCCTGAGCATGGTCACGTGTGCTGATTAGAAAAGATGACCCCTCTGAGAGGGTGCAGCCCTGGTCCCTGTCTAGGCAAGCAGAAGCCTGCATGGCGGTTCTCACTTGTACCTTCAGCCGGGGGCTTTTTGTTCAGTGCACAAACTGCCCAACCATGAGCCGTAGCCCTGGCTTGAGCTGGGAATGTATTTGGTGAGTCTAGAGGACATGAAGGAGGCCAGAGTGCCTGGTGCAGCGTGAGCAAGGAAAAAATGGGGCGAGATGAGCTCACATAATGGAAGACTTCAGAGGCCATAGGAAGACTTGGGAGTTTTCTTTGGAAACAGCTTTATTGAAATATAAATTCACACACCATTGGATTCACCCATTTAAATTGTATAATTAATAGCTTTCAGTATATTCATGGAGAACATTTTCATTACCCTAAAAAAAGAACCCCCACATGTGTTAGCTCTAGTTCTCCACTCCACTCCCCGCCCCCGGCCCTAGGCAACCACTGATCTACTTTCTAACTCTGTAGATTTGCATATTCTGGACATTTCATACAAATGGAATCATACAATACGTGGTCTTTTTAAAAAAAATTTTTGTTTATTTATTTTTGGCTGTGTTGGGTGTTCGTTGCTGTGTCTGGGCTTTCTGTAGTTGCGGTGAGCAGGGGCTACTCTTTGTCGCGGTACACGGCCTTCTCATTGCGGTGACTTCTCTTGTTGTGGAGCACGGGCTCTAGGCACATGGGCTTCCGTAATTGCGGCTCATGGGCGCATGGGCTTAGTTGCTCCACGGCATGTGGGATCTTCCCTGACCAAGGCTCGAACCCGTGTCCCCTGAATTGGCAGGCACGTTCTTAACCACTGCACCACCAGGGGAGCCCATAGTAGTTCTTTATATATTCTATACACAAGACCCTTGTGGGATATATGATTTACAAAACATTTACATTCTTTTTTTAATATTCTTTTCTACTATGGTTTATCACAGAATATTTTTACAAAACATTTAGGCGTTTGGATTTTACTCTGCTGTTGGGAAGCTACAGGAGGGTTTTGAGCACAGAAGTGATCTGCTTTGACTAAAACTTTTGGAAAGGGGCACTCTGGCTGCTACCGCGGCGAGAATGGAGTGGGGGGTGGAGGTGAGAATGGAGCAGTGGGGAGGCGACGGTGGAAGCAGAGAGGCCAGCTAGGAAGCTATTGCAATAATCCAAGCGAGGAATAATGGGTTCGATCAGGATAATCGTGACGGAGCTGGTTAGAGTGGTCAGATTCTACGTGTATTTTGGAAATAGAGCCAATGGCATCTACTGAAGGATTGGACACGGACTGTGAAAGTCAGCAGAATCAGGAATGATTCCCAGATTTTTGCCTTATGCAACTAGAAGTCTAGATTTGTCATTTGCTGAGATGGCAAAGACTTAGCTCCTTACGGGGATGATCAAGAGTTCCTTTCCCGTTTGAGATGCTTATTAGTCATACAAATAGAGACTGAGAAAGAAGTTCTCAGAAGCTCTGAGCCTAGAGATTTGGGGAGAGTTTGGAGCTGGAGTCATCAGCATGTAAACCGGTTTAGCAGCCGGACTGGCTGGAGCCACCTAAGCAGGGGGGTGGGGGTGGATGAGAAAAGATGTCGGAGGACTGAGTATTTTCGTTGTTTGTTGCTGAGTGACAGACACACCACCCTAAAACTTAGTCGCTCAAAACATCAGTCTATCGTGTCTCACAATCCTGTGGGTCAGGAATTTGAGCAGGCAGCGGCTGCTCCATTGTACATCAGTGGAGTGGTTGGGCTGCGCTAGGAGACCCAGGAAGCCTTCACTCACATGTCAGGTGCTTTGGCATCCTCCTTGTGCCTTCTCTGTGATTGTTCCTCATTCGGGAGTCCAGCTCAAGCTTTGTTGCAGCATGGCAGCCGGCTTTCCCCGAGCAAATGAGAATGCTGCCAGGCCTCTCAAAGGTTAGGCCAGGAACTGCCTTCTGTTGGTCAAAGCAAGTCATGCAACCAGCTCCAATTCAAGAGGAGGGGATATAGATTCCACCTCTTTATGGGTAGAGTGGCATGTGCAAACTAGGAGGGAAGGAATTGGAGAAGCCCATCTTTGGAGATTATCTAACACACTGAGCCCTGGGATATTCCAATATTTAGAGGAAAGAGAAGAAGTTTCCAGCAAAGAGAATGTGAAGGAATGGCCAAGAAAGTAAGAGAAGGACAAGCTCTGAGCACTTTAGCCTTCCTCTTACTCCATTTCCTACATGCAGAAATTACTATTTATGTCCCCTGTTGCTTTCCTGGATGGACCAGAGCAATGCCAGAAGATCTGTCCAGTGTGGCCACAGTCTGGGGCCAGATGAAAAATGATGGGGGATGAAGAGTATTAACCCTCCAAGAGAGAGTACGGATTTCTTCTCAGTCTTCAGTTTAAATCACTGAAAAATATTGCAAGTACTAAAGGCAGGAAGAAAAAGTGCTGCTACAGAGTTAGGAGCAGCCATCGAACCCCAGTAGCTGTTGTGAGTTAGGATGTGAGTCTCATCCTTGGTTGGAAAAAGTTGATCTGTTTCTCAGTCCTAAGCCTGTTCAGTCTAAAGCGGTCTAAAAATAGAACAAGTTGCCTTTGTTCTTTTTTTATTTCTTTACCCAAATGGAAAAGTTTTAAATTATAAAGGTAACTCATTTTTATGTGAAAATTTTGGGTAATACAAAAAAGTGAAGTTTAAAGAAAGCAAAACTCAGAAGATATTTCAACATAGCAAAATATTAATACCCAGATCACACTTTTTTAAAACCCTAAAAATCAAGAAGAAAAAAACAATCCATTGGCAGAAGAGGCTAAGGAAATGGTTTGGTAGTTCACAGAAAAGGAAACCAAAATGCCTGATAAATACAGGAAAAGAAGCCCAATCTCTCTGGCAGTCAAGGAAATGAAAGTTAAAATCACAATGAGATATACTATGTATCCACCAGAATGGCTAAAATTAAAAAGGTTGACAACACCAAGTGTTGACAAGGATATGGAGAAACTGGAACTCTTATTGCTGGTGGGACATAAAATGATACAACCTCTTTGGAAAACAATTTGGCAATTCCTAATAAAGTTAAGTGTACACTTAACCATATAACCCAGCTTTTCCACTCCTAGGTATTTACAAAAACATATGTCCACAACAAAATTTGTCCACAAATCTTGTTCACAGAAGTTTTATTTGTAATAGCCAAAACCTGGAAGGTATCCAAATGTTCATCCACAAATAAATGAATTAAAAAATTGTAGTATATCCATAGAATGGAATATACCCAGCAATAAAAAGGGACAAGCTACTAATAAATGCAACAATGTGGATCAATCTAAAAAATATTATTCTGAGCCAAAGAAGACTTATACGGGAGTATGTACTGTATAATTCCATTTATATGCAATTTCAGAACAGACAAAACTATACCAATAGAAAGCAGATAAGTGATTGGGATTGGGGTGGGGTGGGGATTGATGCAAAGGAGCAAAAGGAACTCTTTTAGGGTAATAGTGATGTTCTAGATCTTGATTGTGGTGGTGGTTACATGGGTATATACGCTTGTCAAAAAAACTGCACTCTTAAACTGAGTCCCATTTATTGCTTATAAATTATACCTCAATTAAGTTGAATAAGAGAAATTAACAATGAGATTCCATTTCAAACCCTTCATATTGGCAAAAATGTTAAAACAAACTGGCAGCATTGAGTGTTGGTGAGGATATGGGGAAAGGGGAAACCTTCTATGTTATTGATGGAAATTTACTTCCAGTATGTACATTGGTGCAACCACTGTGGAGAGCCATTAGCAAAATAATTTGGCAGTTTTCAGTAAGTCAAAGATGTACACACTTGTGAGCTAGCAATTCCATTCCTAGTCGTGACCTAGAGACACTCTCACGGGGGTATACCAGGGATACAAGCTGACAGCAGCAAAAAATCAGAAACAATCTCAGTATCTGTCAACAGGAACATAGATTGATAACTTTTGGTGTAGTCATTTACAAGAGCCAAGTAGATTGGTATATCTCAACATGGACAGAGATAAAACGTTGAGTGACAAAAGCAAGTTGTAGAATGATCCATATAATGTGATACCATTTATGTAAATTAAAGCCACATAAAACAACACTATGTATTGTTCATGGGTATGTGTATGTGTGTATAAAAGTGTAAAAAGTGAACTAGAAAGATGAACATCAAACTCATGACAGTGATTGACTGTGGGGAGTGGAGGAGGGGAAAGGGACAGGGTAAGTAGTAATTAAAGGGATTTTGGCTTTATTAGTAATGTTGTATTTTTTAAACAAATTTCCTTTTGGGGAACGATATTGACAAAATTAAATACACCTTTTTTGTATTTTTAGTATTTTTCATAGTAAATATTTTCAAAGGAAAGTCATCCATTAACCTTTCAAGAAAACCACTGTGAAGTGTTGGTGTAAATCTGTTCATACTTCTTATGTATGTGCAAATAAACATATAGTATATACATATAGTTTATGTACATTATATATATACTATATGCATATAGTATATGCATATATGTGTGTATATAATTTTTGCATTAATAGGTTCCTACTATACATCCAGTTCTGGGACTTGGTATTTCTCACACATGGATATCATGGACATTGTTTCATATTAGTAATATTGATTTAAATTTTCCTTTAAAAAATTCTGTGATATTTGATTGTGTGGATTTGCCATGATTTATTTATTTAACCCATTATCATTGATGGACATTTCAATAATTTCTTCTTTTTTATTTTTTTACTGTTATAAGCAACATGGCAGTAAACATCTTTTGACATACGTGTTTGCATAGTAATGCAATTACTTCCTCGGATAGATTCTTAGATGTGAAATTGTGGGTCAAAGCAAAACACTCAACATTTTAGTAAATATGACCAAATTTCCCTCTAGAGAAGACTGTCCACTAGAACCTTCTTCAGTGACGGAAATTTTCTCTGTTTGCACCTGTCCAGTACCCTAGCCACTAGCCACAGGTGGTCGCTGAGCACTTGAAATGGGACTGCATGTGACTAAGGAACTAAAGTCTTAATTTTATTTAGTTTTAATTTTAATAGCTGCATGTGGGTAACAGCTATTATGGGACTAGAGCGTTGGTATCATTTTTTCTCTTATCAGTTATGAAAGGAAGCACTTGTTTCCCCTTTGCCTTCTTAGCATCAGTGAGTGCTCGAATTGTGTTCAGACCCTGAGAACAGAGTGGAGGGTGGGAGGGCGTGCCCTGAGGCCCCCCGCAGCTGCTTTTATCTGTTTGTTTAATCTATTTTATTTGTTTGCTTTCCACGGATATTTGTTTCAAATTCTTTTTTTTTTTTTTTTTGGCTACACGGCATGCGGGATCTTAGTTCCCCAACCAGGGATCAGACCTGTGCCCCTTGCAGTGGAAGCACCAAGTCTTAACCACTGGACCTCCAGGGAATTCCTGATGATTCGTTTCAGAAAAAGTTCTGTGGCTAAACATTTTGAAAAGTTCTAAGTTAAGGTCTTTCCAAGCCCCCTTTCAGCTCAGAGAGGCCAATCTGATCAAGCAGAGTTCCACACGGGTCATCTGTTTGCAGTTAAGTCTCCCTGGCGAACGTGATGAGAAGTCACCCCGCTGGCTGTCAACATCTTAAGTATCTGCTTCCTCTCTTTTAGGGTAAAGAGCCCAAAGCTGTCATCAGCATCAAGGACTTGAATGCCACCTTCCAGACAGAGAAGATAGGGAACCCCCACGGGCTGCAGATCACCTACCGAAGAGAGGGCCACGTCAGGAACCTGTTTGTGTATCACGAGAGTGGGAAGGTGAGAGCCTCCAGCTCGCTGACCCCCTTGCGCAGCAGCCTCCTGAGATCTGCTGCTGCTCTTCACCTTAACCTATTGTCACTTTTTTTTTTTTTCCACACCACGTGGCTTGTGGGATCTTCGTTCCCCAACCAGGGCCCACGGCAGTGAAAGCACCGAGTCCTAACCACTGGAATGCCAGGGAATTCCCTATTGTCGCTCTCTAGTTGGAGACAGACGTACAAGTAAAGCAGAGCGAGATCAGGGAGAGCAACCTGGTGGGTACCAGGGGTGCATCTGGATGGTGCACAGCTGTCAAGGGACATCCACTTAGCAGAAGGGACTATGCCCAGGGATGGCAAGTCAGGTGGGGCCGGAGATTCCAAATATGGGAGGAGGAATGGATCAAAGCCTGGGCAGCGGCGCACTCCACGGCCTTGCTTCTCAGCGTTTGGTCTGGCACCAACAGCATTAGCCATCACCTGCGAGCTTCTTAGAGCTAGAGTCTCGGGCCCACCCCGGACCTACCGAATTAGAAGCTGCATTTTAACAGGATCCCCAGGTGATCCTTATGCACACTGAAGTTTGGGGAAAACACCACTTAAAGGTCCAGGAAATCAGCTCCATCAGAGAAGAGCAGGCCAATAGTACAGGTTCAAGAGAATAAGCTGGGTCAGAATGAGCAGGGTCATGTGACGGGGCAAGGGTCAGAGATGCTAAGTCGAGGTGAGGAGGGGCAAAGGTGGGGGCTGACATTTTGTGAGTTTCTTTTTAATTCTGTGCCAGGTGCTTTTCTTGGCGGTCACTATACCTCATTTCTTAATCTTCAGATCAACCCTGGAAATGTTTTATCCCCGTGTTACAGAGGCATGGGCATGTTAAATAATTTGCTCAAAGTCACGTAGCCAATGGTTCCTGAGCCCTGCACCCATTTCCCCTCCCCAAGTGCCTCTGCTGGAGGAAGGACCCTTGGCAGCAGGAGCCAGGAGCCAGATACAGGGACTCGATCTTCCCATAAGGCCCTAGCGCTGGGATGGTGACCATGGATCACCCTCCCAGCAGGCTTCACGCTCCCCCCATATTCTGGGCTGACTTCCTGGTGTGGTCTGAAGAGCTGGGTTTGGAGTCAGAAGCTGGGGCTCTGGTTCTGCCACTCCCAGCTGTGTTGTTAGGGCAGGTTCCTTCCCTCCCTAAGTCTGCTTGTTTATGGTTGATAACGTCCACCTCCCAGAGGGGTTTTGAGAGTTGAGTGACCATGAACCACGAACGTGAAAGCATCTCATCACGGTGCACTGTAAACGTTAGTTGCTACTGTAATTCGTTCACGATTGTGGCGGCTGCAGAAGGGGACAAACTCTTGTGAGTCATTTCACATCTGTGTCATTTATGCATTCATGAGTTCACTCTTTCGGTAAATCCTTATCACACTCCTCCCCGCAATGTGCACAGCACTGGGGTGTGTAGTGAGTGGGGCAGAGCCATGAGTGGGGTTCTGGGATCTCAGAGTCTCGGGAGGCAGATGGGGAAATAGGCACTGATGATGCTGTGTGAGGATGGGCTGGAGGCTGTGCTAGGGACACACAGGAGACGTATAAGTAGCCTAGTCTGGGGGGTGGGTGCGCTGGAAGGAGGCAGTCAAAAAAGGCTTTCCAGAGGAAGGAGCATCTATTTAAGAATTGTGTGAATATGCTGAAAAGGAGAACACTCAAACCAGCTTAAACAGGACATGAATAGGAAAGATATAGGAGTGTTTATTTATTTCAAGGGCCAGTAGTATGGCTTGGCCTCCTGAGAGATTAGAATCAGGAGCTGTGGTGTGTGTGTGTGTTTAAGAGAGAGAGAGAGAGAGAGAGAGAGAGAGAGAGAGGGAGAGAGAGAACACACTCTAACAGCAACACATTGTTCTGTAAAACCAGGAGTGCGAGTAATGTCTCTCTTGTTTGTTTCTCTAAATTCAACGATCTCATTCCCCAAATTGCCAAGAAATCTATTATCAGTCATCTTTCTCGGCTCCCTCCCTTGGCTTTACTAGAATCTTGGGACTTATGCAGTGTGGGAGACATGGAGGAGATGCCTGGTTTTCAGTCCACATTGGGCTCACTGCTGTAGTCCCATGTCCAGACTGGCTGGATACCAGTGGCTACCCCTCCACCCGCGCGAAAGCTACGAGGACTTTTGCTGCAGTGCCCAAGGTCTCAGACAATTACGGTACCTGGCTCCCTACCACTGACCCAGTTGTAGAGCTACCGGCAACCTGGTTCTGGCTGGTCTCCTCTTTCCCTTGATGCCTCAGCTTCTCCCTTAGATGGGCATAAATGGGAGTGTGGCGGGGGTGGGGGTGGGGGATGCTCAAACTCATGCCCACAGGAGCCAGGTGGGCAATTGAAAAGTAAAGTGGACAGCCTTAAGGCTGTGGCAAACAGGAACACCTGTATAGAGGACTGAAACAGACAAAACTTCAGGAGCCAAACAAACCTGTATGCAGGTTGGATTCTGCCCCGGAGCCACCAGTTTGTGACCAAAGAGCCCTTCCAAAGTGGAGGCCTAGGTGGGTCTTTCATGGGATGGTCCCATTCCCTTAGTGCCTGAGCCTCTAGAAGTTTCTTAACACCCAGGACAGGAGAGCTCCGAACTCAGGAATACGGGGCCAGCAAGTTTGACCTGCAAGAGAGAAAGGGTAATGATGTTTCATACCTTTGAAACCAAATTCAAATGAATTTCTCAATCACCGTATTACATCTAAGTGCAGCACAGTAGCTATTTGAACAAGTCTTTCAGCTAGCTCCCCCAATTCCAAATTCCTGAGAGAAAGAATCTGATAAGCCCTGTCCAGCCTCTGCATTTGTCCAGTTGCTGTGGTCAAGAGTGGGTAGAATCATAGCAGCAAGCGTGGCTGCAACTGTGGGTGAGTGGTGTGTGGCTGAGAATGGGTGGGGCAATTCTCATAGAATCAGGGCTTGCGTGGAGCAGAAATCTATTGCAATATCTAAACTCACCCTCAGGATGAGTAGAATGTTCTAGGTAAAAGGTGTGTCGGGGGTGAGGGCAGAGAGTTGGGTGAGGCTGAGTGTTTCAGGAAAAGGTAATAGCATGTGTTGGGATGGGGTGGGGGGGAGGTGGGGCAGGGATTGCAATGGTTTTGTATGGAAGGAGCTCAGAGGGCAAAGAATTTAGACTCTCTTCCTGAGGGTAGTGGAGAGGACTCTAAGCTAGACTCCATTAGATTTGCAACTCGAAAATCACTCTGGCTGCCATAAGGAGGCCTGAAAGGAGAGTGGCAGAGCAGAGGCAGAGCCAGCTGGATAAAGTGAGAGACGATGGTGGACACTGCCGAGGGAGGTGTTCTCCCAGAGGGACACAGAAGGTCCAAGCCAGCTTTAGCCCAAGTTGCACTCCAGGTGATGAGCATCCGCGTTGGAGGAGCATCCCCAGGTGCACCTGCCCCCACCTGAAAGCCAGTCTTTGGCCTCTGAGGACCCTTGCTTCTCAAAGTGTGTCCCAATGACCAGCGTCATATCACCTGAGAGCTCGTTAGGAATGCAGAATCTCAGGCCCCACCCCAAACCCACTGAATACAAATCTGCGTTTTAATGAGATCCTCAGGTGATTCATACACACATTAGAAAGAGCCAAGCACTGTCCTAGGCCATTGCATAACTCCTATGTGGTCCGCCTTGGTCCTTTCCCATGGCTCTGGGGATCTCCCTGTCAGTGGCTTCCCACTTGCTCAGGTGACGCCCCTGGGCTCGGGCACTGTCCTCCCAGATGCCTGTGAACAGCGCGCAGGCTCCTGAGTGGGACTGAGGGTGCGTGCATGTGGCCAGACCTGAAGGTCCAGCTGGCTTCTTGCCTCCAGCCTCAGCTCCCCCACTACTCTGTCTCATTGGCTGTCCATCTGTGCTTTGTATTTCTCTCTGCAGGAGATAGTGGACTGGTTCAATACCCTCCGTGCAGCCCGTCTCCAATACCTAAAAATGGCCTTTCCTGAGCTCCCGGAGCCTGAGGTGAGCTAAATGTGGACCCCAACTTCCACATCTCCTCTCTGCCGTCTCCTTTGTTTCTTGTCTGCTGACCTCGAAGACACTCAGAGGCCAGCCTCAGTTTGTTTGCAGGAAAGACCTTGAGATTTGGGGTTGGGGACCTCAGTGGGAAACCAAAAGCTTTCTCCTGGGGAGTCTGGGCGTTATGGCCTCACCCCTGGCAAGGCAGCCTCCAAAAAGTGGGTCAGGCTGTCCCCTTCGGGATGCATGGCCACCACCCACAGTGTCAAGGGGCTCAGGATTTGAGCATCTCTTTCTCACCCCTTCTCCCACTAAAATGCCCGAATGGTCCATCACATACTGCTTATACAGTGCTTTCGAGCCCATTGTATCTTGTAATCCCTTTTATCTAGTAATCCCTTGCAGCCAGCAGTTAGGTGAGTGTGATTATTCCCATTTCACTGATGAGAAACTGAGCCCCAGGAAGGTCAAGTGCATAACCAAAGGTGTTCTTCACATTCGAACATTCCCCCCTTTACCCTTTCATATTCTGGTATAAAGAAGGTAGTGGGATCTTTCCCATTATCATTCTAACGGGAACAGTCTGCCTTTCATGGCCTAGGTAGTGGGGAGACTGAGAACTTCATTTGATTGTCCTCAGATGTCTGGAGCATCCATCTACATCTCTCAGGCTTGGCTGGGGAAGCTGTATAGTGGGCTGGAGGATGCTGCCCTGAGCCAGGAGGCCTAGGCTCTTGTGGACGTTCTGCTGCTAACTTGCTGTGTGACCACTGCGGGTTGAGACACCTCTCTGTGCATCTGTTCCCACATCTGTAAGATGGTGCTTGGTCTGGGTCATCGTCAGGGTCCCTTCCAACCCTGAGGTGCTGTACTCTGGTCCCTGTCTTAGGCCTGCTCTAGGAGGATTTTGTAAGAGATAGGGGTGGAGAGACCATGTTAGTCCTGGGACTTCTTTTTCCTTTTAATATTTATTTATTTATTTATTTATTTAATTTTCTTTCTTTTTTTTTTTTTTTTTTTGCTGCGTCGGGTCTTCGTTGCAGCACTCGGGATCTTCGCTGAGGCATGAGGGATCTTTTCGGTGCAGTGTGTGGGCTCTTTTTTGTGGCGCACGGGCTTCTTTCTAGTTGTGGCATGCCGGTTTTCTCTCTCTAGTTGTGGCGCATGGGTTCCAGGGCGCATGGGCTCTGTAGTTTGCAGCACATGGGCTCTCTCGTTGAGGCGCACGAGCTCAGTAGTTGTGGCCTGCGGGCTTAGCTGCCTTGCGGCATGTGGGATCTTAGTTCCCCCACCAGGGATCGAACCCAGGTCCCCTGCGTTGGCAGGCAAATTCTCTACCACTGGACCACCGGGGAAGTCCCAGTCTTGGGACTTTCTTAATCCCAACTGTTAGACCCTCCTCGGAAGCCTAAGTGTTCCTTAATGCCCAAGTTTGCAGGGAGCAAAGTGTCTGGAGCGGGGGTCCATTCCAGACCCAGTGATGCACTGAGGTGGCAATTCTCTAGGAGCAGTTCCAGCTAGACCCGGCTCAGGGCCCTCCCGGTCTGCAGAGTCAGCACCGGAGCTGGTGACTGCCTGCTTCCGTGGGCGGGGCGCTGGGGGTGCTGACCGCTGGCTGGAGAGGATGGAGGACAAAGTGCAGATGCCCAGCCTCATTTGTCTGGGCCAGCTCTCCAACTCTGCTGACCCCTGCGGAGGAAACTGGTCTTTGGCCAACATCCTCAATGCCCTCTTGCCTCCCTCATCCACCATTGTTACCCCTTATCCACTCCCAGTTTCCTCCCCGCCCACCTCTCTCCCCATCTTTCTTCCCCCCATGTCTACGTATGACGTGAGGTTCTGGGCAACCACCCAGGCCTGGCTCGAGCTCAGGGATCCAGATGCCGGAAACCTGGGGAGCCCAAGCGGGGTTGTGGTCCTGTGATAAGTAAACGCATGAACCCAAAGTCAGAGAAGCTGACGTGTTACATAGGACAAGTCCCCTCACCTCTCTGAGCCCCAGTTTACTCATCTGTCACCATGAGGACAATCCCTGTCTCCAGGGCTGCCGTCAGTCCAGTGAGCAGGGTGTCTAAGGTACAGTGAACAGAACCCCATCCACGTGCTTTTTCTTCTTCTTCCATTGGCTTCCCGAGGCCTAGACTCCCCCTGCTCTGGCTCCAGTTCAGACGACTGAGCTGTCAGGACTTCTCTTCTCTCCAAATGAAGGAATTAAAGCCTACAGAATGCATTTTAGGGAAAGGGGAGTGTTGTCCTTTATATTTTTGTTTTGAGCTCACGATTTTCTCCCTTTCAGACTTTCCATTCCTATTCCCAGATGTCATGTCTGCTTCGTCCCTGCCCTGGGCTCAGGCTCTGGAGAGCCCCTGTGTTTTCAGAAACCTGGGCTGTCACTTGAAACTCTAGACTTGCCAGTTGACACCCTGGAGCATAGGGGACCAGCATCAATCCCTGGAAGCTTCTCTGAGCATAGGATGGCAAGTTGGAAGGGATCCTGCAGATCACATAGGCCAGTATCCTTATTACGTAGTGGGAAATAGGCCCAGAGAGGCATAAGGTCTTACCAAGGTAACACAGCTGGTTGAGGTCAGACCTGGAGCTAGAACTCAGGTCTCTTGACTCCTAATCCAGAGCTTTCTCTACTTGCCCACCCTGCCATCACCTCCTATGGCCCTGGGTCAGAATCCCCACCAATGACCAGGTCTTGGCCAAGGGCCTGATCAGAGGGTTCTGCCATGTTTATACTTTAGCATCATAGAGTAGCAGTAGGGGTACCACTAGTGTCTGTATGGTGTCCATCGCCTCTAGATGTGAAAGCTCTTCATCCTACCAATGACATGCCTTTGAGAAAATCCACAACCACTTCTCTGAGGCCTGGTTTGTTCATATATACAACGAAGATGATAATATCCACCTCACAGTGTGGTTGAGAATTACGCGCAGAGCCTGACACACAGTAGATCCTCAGAATATGCCCACCTGACACCAGGAGGGTCTCCTCAGAGCCTTGCCTGTGTCCTTCTCCTGGAGTTGCTGAAGGAATCCCTAAACTAAGTCTTGAAACTAAGACTTGGCTGTGCTGGTAAGCTCTGCAGACATCTGCGGTGCTGTTGTCTGGCTCTGTTGAAATGTTAATGTTGCATCCATACCAAATATAACCCCCTGAACCATGTGTACACATCCTTCCCCATTCCAAACTTCCCCTTTTTTGGGGAGCCAAGTTCGGTGGGGACCCTCGGGCTGTGAGTGTGAGGCAGGGGTGTCAGTGTGTGTCTTTCTTCCCCCAGCTTGTGCCCCTCATCACCAGGAACTACCTCAAGCAAGGCTTCATGGAAAAGACTGGTCCAAAGGTATATCCTCCACTCCCAGGGAGATTTTCATGGCCCCTGTCCCAGTAGGCGGTAGGGCAGAATTTGGGAGGTGGGAAAATGGGGAACCAGGGGCAGAGAGGAGGGAGGAAGGAGAAGTAAATGGATGTTTGTGAGTTCCGGGGCTGGAGGACCAAGTGGAGACCAGGTGGCTGGAGTGTGGTCCAGCATGGCTGAGGTGCTTCTCCCTGTAACTGGGCATCCTCCCGCTTTATCAACATCACCATTAGCTTCTGTCCTCTTAACACCATCTAACTGATCCTACTCTTGGGAAAGCATAGCTGAAAAAGGACTCCTTGGGGGACAGCTTTTGACTTTCCAGAACCCTTGTGTGTTCTGTGCTGGGGCCCTACCAGGACCGTTCAAGTGACGCAGGGACGTGATCAATCTGAGAGAACACACCTATATATACCCATGCTTGGGTGCCCAGCTGCATGCTGGTGGGGCGAGGCTCAAAGTCAGAAGATGGAGATGGTAGGGGGTTGTGACGGGCGGAAGCAGGGAAAGGAGGAGGGAAAGGGAGAAGGAAAGGAAAAGTAGAGGAGCTCCCTAAAAAAGAACCCCAAAGCGACAGCATTCCAGTGCGTTGTGGGTTTTTTTGCTTGTTTGTTTGTTTTTAAGATGTAATATGCTGACAGGATGCTTGTTAAGATGACAGTGAAAGGTGTTAGGCAATCAGGGTAAAGAAAGCCTCAGGCAGCTGGAAAACTTGTAAAAGGGTTGCAGGTTCTCTTCCTTCACCAGCTGGTGGCACCGCCCTCCCTGTGGTTCTGGCCAGGGGCTTTCCTTCCCCTGACCTAGGATAGAATTTGGCCAAGGCCAGCACTTTCAGAAGCGCTGAGCAGTAGCCACTTCTGATTTCCCAGCTTCCTTTTTCTGAGACTTCTTGTCCACAGCCTGAGAAAGGGGTAAAATGCTTCTTCCAACCCACGCAGGCAGCACCTGGAGGCAGCAGGGCGAAGCTGGGGCTGGGGGAGGGGGTGGGATGGGTGGGGGAGAGATGGGGCAGAGCCTGCAGAGCTCTAGGCCTGGGGAGGGGCGCTGGGGTGTGCGACTGCGGGGCTGGGACCCGCTGGCTCCCTTGGCCTGGCCTAGGCTGGCCCTCTGACTTCTGTCCCCACCGCCTGGCCGAGCCTGGTACGAGGTTCCCTTTTTTGCAGCAGAGAGAGCCTTTCAAGAAAAGGTGGTTTGCCCTGGATCCCCAGGAGCGGAGGCTGCTCTATTACAAGAACCCGCTGGTAAGAGCCACTGCCAGCCCCGCCGCTGTGCACCTGCAGGCGGAGGTGGGGTCAGTGCTGGTCGGGAGCCATGGGGAAGCGACAGGGCTGGAGAAACCCAGCCAGAGGCACACCTCCATCGTCACTTGTCTCTACGTCAGTCTTGTGCATGAAGCTGTGCTCTCCCTCACCTACAGGAAGTCCTTTATGTGTGTCCAAAATGCTGCCGATGTATCAGTAGCTAAGACAGATGTTTCCCGGCAGGACTCTCTTCCAACCGGAGGCTGTGGAGTGTAGCAGTTGGGAGTGAGGGCTCTAGAACTCGGCTGTCTGGGCTCCGGTTCCAGCCCTGCCACCTTTAGGGGTGCGCTCTGGGCAGAGCACTCAGCACTCCGTGCCTCAGTTTCCTCCCCCAGAAAATAGGCTTCATAACACTGCCTCCCTCAGAGGCTGCCGTGAGGATGATCACATGAGTTACTACGTGTAAAGTACTTGAATTCATGGTGCAGAGTTAACTCTCTGTAAATATTAAGTATCATTTAAACAGATGCCATGTGTGATGTCTTTTATGGTTTGAGCCTTTTAAATTCTGGGTCCCAGCCGAAATCCCCAGCAGAAGCCCCACCCAACACACACACCTCTTATTAAAATGGACCTGGGGGGCTGTCAGGCCTGCAGGTGGCCCTCAGCCCCAGGTGTGGCCTCTGACGACCTGTGTCTTCTATTTTCAGGATGCCTTTGAGCAGGGCCAGGTATTTCTCGGGAGCGATGAGCAGGGGTACCAGGTGTATGAAGATCTGCCTAAGGGCATCCGAGGGAATCGCTGGAAAGCCGGCATCACCGTCGTCACCCCGCAGCGGAGATTCATCTTCACCTGCCCCAGCGAGAAGGAGCAACGCGAATGGATGGAGAGTTTTCGGGATGTCCTCTCCCGCCCCTTGACACCCCTCAACCTCCTCAGTAAGATGCAGGGCTTGTTCCTTTGGCTGAGGGCAGCAGGCAAAAAGGGGCTTCTTCACTTGGGTTCAGCTGTGAGCCCTGAAACTGGGGTCACGGCTCCCGACTGCCCTCTTTCCATTTTCTTCTCTTTCTGCCAAAGAAAAGTTCAGACAGTGCACATTATTGCCAGGGAACCCTCTCTGTCCACTCTTAGTTCCTCTACCAGGAGCCTTTCTCTAGCCACGTCTGGAGGAGTTTCGCTCTGGCAGAGATGTCACTTAGATCCGCTTTTCTGCCCTGCTCAGTCCAGGAGCCTAGCAGCCTCTCTGTCCCTCCACCCTCTGCCCCTGAGTCCCTTTTCTCATGAGAAAACTCTGGCCTGTTATTAAGGTCACAGCACTGGGCAGCTCCTGGGATTTTGGACTACTCCCCGCTCATAGAGGGAAGGCTATTTTTAGGGCTCTTCTTTTCTCTGGGTCCTTTCATGTGTCTGCCCCTCTCCTGCTCTTCCCCTTCACCCCAGATGTGTCACAAGCAGGCTTCCCCATCTGCAGACAGCCCCGTGAAAGGAGGGGAGACATTCTGAGCCAGAGCAGGAAACTTCTGGCCCAGGGCCTGGCTTCTGGGACACCAAGGAGAAGCTCTTTGTTTGGAAAAGTACAGTCTGAGCAAGTGACCCCACGCAGCCCCTTTGGAGGAACCCTTGTGCCCTTTGAGTCTGACCAGGATAAACACAAACTTGCTTCACTTTCCGAAATCCCAAGGCCAAAGAGCCTCAGACATGGGCTCGGAAGTTGTTAGTGAGGCAGCTGGTGCTTTTTTCCTCTGGGGGCCTGTGTGTCCGAGTCTCTGTTTTTCTCCGTTTCTGTGTCTGACTCTCTGCTTTTCTCTCCTTCTCTGGTGTGTGTGTCCCCTCTGTCTGTCACCTTTTCAGTCTGTTTTTGATTCCTGGTCCCTCTATCATTGTCCCCCTGTCCCCCTGCTGTCCCTGCCCTCCAGTGGGACTGCATTGGCATGGCCACGCCCCCAGCCCTCTTCTTGTTCCCCTTTTGCAGCTGCATCAACAGAGAGTGGCTACAGCAGCAGGTGACCCACTGGCCAGCCAGCGCACCTGGTGGGAAGGAGAAGTTTCCACCTTGGCCTTGGGGGCCCCGCAGGAGTGCCCCACAGTCGGCAGCTATCACGGGCTGTGAACTCTGCCAAGACCGAAGCTTTGGCCTTTATCTGCCGGCTCTCTGGGCTTCCCTGCTACCCAGCTCTGGGGGTCTGAGGATCTGGTAAATGTCCTCAGGGCCCAGGACATCTGAAATGAAGGCACTGCAATGGAAAGGCACCCACGGCATCACACAAGTGGCATGCTTGCTGAAAACAAGAATAGCAACAACAAAAAGTTAAATCTGAAACCAACCATGAGGAAACAATCAGACAAGTCCACATTAGAGAAACTCTGCAAAACAACTGGCTGGACTCTTTAAGAATGTCAGTATCATGAAAGGTCAAGTAGTCTGGAAACTGTTCTAGGTTAGAGAAGACTAAAGAGACATAGCGACAAAATGCAATTCATGATTCTTGATTGGATCCTGGATTTAAAAAAAACAGTTATAAAGGAAATCATTGAGATAACTGGGGATATTTGAATATGGATGTATATTAGCTAGTAATATTGTAACATCGTGATGATTATGCTGTATTTGTGCAGGAGGATGCTCCTGATCTTAGGGGATATGTGCTGAGGTGTTCAGGGGTAAAATGTAATCATGTCTACAACCGACTTAAATGGTTCGGAAAAAAATGTGTATGTGTACATGTGTACATATAGAGTATATACATAGATATAGTGTGCGTGCATTTATGTATGGAAGACAGGAAGTGCGTGTGTATACACACACGCATGCATACACGGGGAGAGAGGGAAAGCGGGCCACTGTGCAAAATGAATCTAGATGAAGTATAGCTGGATGTTCATTGTCTAATTCATGTAAATTTTCTATAGGTTTGAAAGTTTTCAAATTTAAAAGTTGGGAAAATTTTTTTTTTAAATCCACTTTTCACTCTTCAAAAGTAGTGGGTTTTCTACATGAATCGAAAATGTTCCTGGGAGAGTTCTACCTTTGTGCACATTTTAGAAGAAATAAAAGCCCAGATAAGGGCTTCCCTGGTGGCGCAGTGGTTGAGAATCCTCCTGCCAATGCAGGGGACATGGGTTCGAACCCTGGTCTGGGAAGATCCCACATGCCGTGGAGCAACTCAGCCCATGCGCCACAACTACTGAGCCTACACTCTAGAGGCCGCGAGCCACAACTGCTGAGCCTGTGCGCCTAGAGACTGTGCTCCGTAACAAGAGAAGTCACTGCAATGAGATGCCCACGCACCACAACAAAGAGTAGCCCCCGCTCGCCACAACTAGAGAAAGCCTGTGGGCAGCAACGAAGACCCAGTGCAGCCAAAAATAAATACATTAAAAAAAAAAAAAGCCCAGATAATACAAACAAAAACACCAATGTCCCCATTGACCATCCGTGCACTCTGGAAGGAAGCTGAGAAAGCAACTCAGCTGGACCCCAGGACAGAGAGCTATCCAGCCCGAATGCCGGGTCTGGCCCTGCCACTAATGAGACTGCTGGAAAACTCACTTCCCTACCTCTGTGCCTCGGTTTTTCTCTTTCAAATGAGGAAGTTGTACTAACTACTGAAATTCAATGGAAGCAACAAGTATTTTTGAGCACCTCCCGGGTGCCAGGCTGTGTGCCGAGCCCTGGGTACAGGCAGGAACCAGATGGCGTGGTCCCCGCTGTCAGAGATTTCAGCCTGCTGGAAGGCAGCCTGTACATGGGGCAGGACAATGAGACCAGTGTTCCGAAAGGGGAAGTGGGGCTGCTGTGAGACGTGTGGCAATAGGGTTCACCCTAACTGACGGGAAGAGGGGAGACTCCTTCCTCTCCAGAAAATGACGTTGAAGTCGAAACCTTAAATTGTTTAGAGGTTAGTCAAAGGGAAGATGGCCAGGAAAACACTCTAGGTTGAGGGAAGAAAATGTTCAAAGGCTCTCAGATGGGAAAGAGGAACTGAAAGAAATCTCAAGTGGCTGAAATGTTAGAGAAATAGATCACCCAGGTCTCTGCTCTGTGATTCTTTGTCCCTTCGAGTGACGTGGAGAAAGACATTGAGTGTTTTCATTTCAGTGGAGACCCAGAGGGTTGGGAGGGTCTTTAAGACAGTCTCTGCTCTTTATGGGATTTTCCTTTGATCCCCCAATCCGCGGACAAGCAACGTCATCGGGGTGTCTTTCCTGAGGCTTCCTGACTGCCCAGATGAAGACGTGGTTGCTTTCTCTTCTGGCTCCTAAAGCACCTTGAAAATGTTTTTCAGCACCTGCTGGGTTGTATATTAAGGGTCGATCTACTTGTCTGCCTTTTTTTTTTTTTTTTAACATGACCCATGAGCTCTGTTGACTGTACTCTGTTAAGTTCTGAGAATGACAGAATCAGTAAAGGCATAGCTCCACCTTCAAGGAACTTATAGTCCAGAGGGGAAGAAAGAGAAGTAAACAGGCAATAACAAAACAACTTGAAGAGGCAAATTGGCATTCTTAGGAGTCCCTCAGCGGGGCAGAGAACAGACACAAGAGATGGAGACAAAGTCCCAGTGAAATGGAATGTCTGGTTTTGGTTGGTTTCTGAGGCCTAGTTGAATCGGTCTTTGGGTTGCCCAAGGATACTTCTGTACTCTTACATTAAATCCTCTTCTCCCTTTTGACTTATTAGTACAAGGAGATTTCTGTTACTTGAATCGGTCCTGACTAATGAAGTTCTCCAAAAGAGGTAATATCTATGCTGAGTCCTGTAGAAGGTACTTGGGTTGGGGTGGTGGTGGGGGAGACAGAGTGTGTACAAAGGCCCAGAGACAAGAGAGAACATGGCCTGTTCTGGAAATTACAAATAATTGAATATGGCTAGAGCACAGATTGTTGGGGACAGGAGGGGGGTCAGCTTCCAATAATGATGGAGGAGCTCATATCAGAACATCCATTCCACAGATAACAATTAGAAACTCTGTACAGATTATAATGAAAATTATCTGGAGGCCTTGGAAAATAACCTAAAGCATGCAGAGAGGAGTTGGCACTAGGAAGCAAGGAATGGCAGGGGTGAGTTTCTCATTTTTTCGCTTTTCACCTGATGGCAGGCCCCAGTCAGTGCCTCAGGGGGCACTAAAATTCTGATGGAAACCTGCAGTCTTACTGGTTGAAAAATAGAGGACAGAGTTTAGGGCAACTTTAGCAGCAGGGAAGTCTTGGAGAAGAGGGCTACAGAAGGGGAGCCCTGAATTCTATTATCTGCCTGCTCTCTGGAGGAACATAACAGAATCCAGATGTTTGACGTTCATAATATCAGGATGCAACCCTAAATTAGTAGACATATGAAGAAAAAAGAAAATATGAATTGTACTCAAGAGAAAAAAAATCAGTGGAAACTGATTCCAAGATGCCCCAGATATTGGAATTAGGCAAGAATTTTAAAGCAGCTATTATACCTATGCTCAAGAAGTAAAGGAAAATATGATCATGATGAATATACGGATATGAAATTTCAATGGAGAAATAGAAACTATAAAAAAGAGCCAAATGGAAATTCTAGAACTAAAAAATACAATATGTGAAAAAAAAATTCAGCTCAACAGTAAATTGGAAATGACTGAGAGTCAGTGAACTTGAAAATATATCTATGGTAATTATCCATTCTGAAAAACAGGGGGAAGTAAAGGATTGAAGAAGTAAAAAGAGAGGACTTCCCTGGCGGTGCAGTGGTTGGGACTCTGAGCTTCCACTGTAGGAGATGTGGGTTTGATCCCTTGTCAGGGAACTAAGATCCCACATGCCATGTGGCATGGCCGAAAATTAAAAAAAAAAAAGTAAAAAGAAAACCTCAAAAGCTCTAATTTACATGTTATTGGAGTCCCAGAAAGAGAGAAGAGAGAGGTATTGGGGCAGAAGAAAATATTCGAAAATATATTGATTGAAATGTTTTTAACTTTGGTGAAAAACATGTAGAGACTCAAGAAGCTTGGCAAACTTCAAGTGTTTAGAATAAATACAAAGAAAACTACATTCAGGTACATTACTGCCAACCTGCTGAAAACCAAAGATAACAGATTTTGAAAGCAGCCAGAGAAAAGTGATACATTACATACAAGGAAATGTTGTTTCTTATCAGAAACAAAGAAAAAAATGGACTTCCCTGGTGGTTCAGTGGTCAAGACTCTGAGCTTCCACTGCAGGGGGCACAGGTTTGATCCCTGGTCGGGAAACTAAGATCCGCGTGCTGGGTGGGGCAGCCAAAAATAAAACCCCAAAACAAAAACAAAACAGAAACAAAGGAGGCCAGAAGGTGGAAAGACCTCTTTAAAGCGCTAAAAGAAAAAAAAAAATCAGAACTCTAGAGAAAATATCTTTCAAGAATAAAGGATATGTAGATCTATATCTATCTGTAGAGAGAGCAAACAAAAAAAAAACTTCAGAAAAAGAATAAAGGCAAAATATCACTGAATTGTACACTTAAAAATGATTAAAATGGTAAACTGTTTATATTTTACCCCCCCAAAAGAAGTGCAAAAGGCAGATTTTATTCTTAAAAAGGCAAACAAAAAAAGATATTTCTGGATAAAGATAATTGTACGTTTCTGACAGAACTGCAGTATAAGAAATACTAAAGAAAGTTCTTTGGGGTAAAAGAAAATGATACCAAACAGAAACTCTGATCTTTAGGAAGCAATAAAGTGTAATGGAAGTGGTAAAGATATAAGTAAATATAAGACTGCCTATTTAAAGCAAGAATTACATGGGTTATGGTTTATACCATCTATAGAGATAATGTATATGACAACTACAGCATGAAGGCCTGGAGTAAATGGAACTCTACACTTTCAAGCTTCTTATATTTTACATGAAGTGGTACAAAATTAGGTCTACATAGATTGTGAAAATCCAAGGATGTATACTGTAATCCTTAAAACAACCACTAAACATATAATGCAAAGAGGTATAGCTAAAAAGCTAACAAGGAAATTAAAACAGAATTTTAAAAAGCATTTGATTAACCCAGAAGAAGGCAGGAAAGGAAGACAAAATGAATATGAAATAGATGAGACAAACTGAAAATAAAGAACAAAAGGGAGACCTTACCATATCAATAATTACATTAAATATTAGTGGATTAAACAGTTAAATTAAAATGCAAGATTGTCAGAGTGGATAAGGAAGCATGACCCAATTGCATGATGTTAAAAAGACATTTTAAATCTAAAGACATAGATAGATTGAAGTTATAAGTGTGGAAAAACATATACCATGCAGACAGTAACAATAAGAAGGCTGGAGAGGCTATACGGAGATCAGATAAAGTATTTTTTCATGACAAGGAGTAATATCAGAGATAAAGAGTGATGTTTCATAACAATAAAATGTGTAATTCATCAAAAGACACAACAATCATTGATGTGTATGTGCCTAATAATACATCTCCAACGTATGTGAAGCCAAAATGGACAAAATTTAAGGGAGAAATAGACAACCATGAATCAAAAAAGAAATCACATGGGAAATTAGAAAGATTTATAACTGAATGATAATAAAAATAAATGTCAAAATTGAAATGATGCAGCTAAAGCACTAATTAAAGGGAAAGGCCTAAGAATCAATGACCTACGGCTGTACTGTCTAATATGGTAACAGTAGCCACACGTTGCCATTGAGGATTGAGATGTGATTAATACAACCAAGGAAATGAATTTTTAATTTTACTTCATTTCATCTAATTTAAAATAATTTAAATTTAAAATAAAAAACTGAGGGAGTTCCCTGGTGTCTAGTGGTTAGGATTCTGCACTTTCACTGCCATGGCCCAGGTTCAATCCCTGGTCAGGGAACTGAGATCCTGCAAGCTGCGCTGTGCGGCCAAAATTTAAAAAAAAAAAAAAAGTAAAAAATAAAATTAAAAACTGGAGCAGTGTAAGATATTTTTTCTTCAAACACAACTTAGTTGTTTTGGTAAGACTTATATTTTAATTTAACCATCGCAGTGCATAAGATATTATTTCAGTTGTGGAAAAAAATTTAATGATGAGGAAAAGACTAAAAACTAAATTTTATAAAAAGTGAAGTGTCTTCACTTAAGCTGCCAAACAATTACCTGTAGAATATGATGTTTTTTCCTAATAATGTCAAAGATCAGCTGATTCAAAATGTGAAAAAATGCAGGCACTTTTCTTTAGTTTTAGGTGAGTTGTGTAATACAAGACTAACAATGAATAATTTGGGTAAGTTTTGTTTCAAAGGACTTTTAAATTTATGAGGAAATATCAATCCACTGCCTAAAAATCAAACTGATGGTGTAGATATTTTTGAGTCTTTTACATCTGTAAGAGAAGAATTTCAGGTAGATATGGAAAACCTAATTTTTATTGTGACAGATGGTTCTTTAGCTATGTTAGGTCAAAAATTCAAATACTGAAATTTTAAAATAAGAGGCTAATGATTCTCTTATGATTTTGTTCCATTGTATGACACAAAGTCAAAATATTTATGTTCAGTTTTCTGAAACAGACTATGAAAACTGTCATGGATACAGTTGTTAAAATTGTTCAGCATGTACATGTAAATGCCAGTCTATAGAACTGTTGCAAGAAATGGAAGACAATTCAGTTATCTCATATTCTTTGCCAATGCTTTTGGTTGAGTTCTGGACAAGTTTTACAATTATTTAGTGTACTCTTAATTTCAACTCAAGATTTTCTTGAAACCAAAGGAATGCTTGCAAAATAGTCGATAATCAAAGACCTAAGGCAGTGTGATTATGTTTTCTCACTGATATCCCACTGCATATGAATGAGCTAATTTTGAAACTCTAAGGAAAGGTTAATTTGTGACTTAGCTAAGCAGCTACAAGAACTTATGTTGTGATGAAGACATTTAATAATACAAATCAGTAGTAACAATTTTATACACTTTTCTAATATGAATCAATATGCAGAACACTTTAATTATAATCAGTAGTAACATGTAAATTGTCCAAAAATACTATAAGAAAAATTTGTAGGACACTTTATTGATATTGAAGTTGCTCTTAAATTTATGCACTACCCCTTTGAAATAATACTGAGTTTACACTAGACTTCATGAATTTATTCAACTTGGAGAGGCACAGTTTTCAAACTAATATGCTTTTGCTTTAAAAGAGTTAAATCAATTTTCCCCAAAAGATGAAACAGTTTTGTCAATACAATGTGATATTAAATGGTTTGTTTTCTTACTGTTGAGTTTTGAGAGCTCTTTGTGGATCTGGATACTAGTCCTTTGACAGATATAGGATTTGCAAATATTTTCCTCCAATCTGTAGCTTTTCATTCTTTTAACAGTGCCAGTGTAGCCTTTTTTAAGTCAAGGCATTGAGGTCAGGGTTTGTGACTTCCTTCGTTTAATGATGATTTTTGTTGGTGACAAGGTTTGGCATTAAAAACATGTTTTGGCTTATATTTGGGTGTTTTGTAGAGTGGAAATAAGGGTGAAGTATGTCTTGTGAAAATTAATAAAGGGAAACCTCACTAAACTGGAGTCAGGAGGCCAGAAGGGGGAAGCTCTATCATGTACATACCACTCCACATCAATACAGATCCTAATAGGAAGAGAAGTACCTTGCATCTCCAGCAGGAAGTGACACTACATTACTTCTGCCAGCAGGAGGAAGAAAAAATTTTTTCCTTGCCTGGCAATAGCTCAGCCAATAAAAAGCCACTGTACTTCAAACTCCCAATTTCCTCCAAAGGACCTTTTGTTTCTAGAAGCCCCTCCCAACGTCCCCTTCTTCTCTATAAAAGAGTTTCCTGTCCTTTGCTTAACTGGACTCGCATGTGGCTCACCATAGTTCCATGTCCTGAATTGCAATTCTTTGCTGCTCCCAAATAAACCCGTTTTCCTGGTAAAATTAACTGTTTGTTCAATTATTTTAGGTTAGCAGTTTACTGACTTCTGTCTTCCCCTGACAAAATATGCTTTGTCCCTTAAGGAATCCAATGAGAGCAAAGCAAAGAAAGGAGCACTCAGAATATATTAATGGCAGTTGCACACAAACTCCTTTCCCATCTAACTTAGCATTAGAACTCAGCATCACAGGAACGTGTATTAACACATCTACTTGAATTTAACAGTGATGTCAGATTCTCTGATAGAAAATGAGTCTGATTTGACGGGTTTGACTATGAGAACTGGCACCTCCAGTTAGATTCTGTCGCCCATATTTTGCATGTATTGAATGAGCTAAATTTGCAACTCCAACCTTTTGAAGGAAATATATTTCAAGCACTTAAGACAAAAGTACCTTTCCAAAAAAAATTAAATTAACAAAAGTGTATTTAAATGAACAATATTCTTATTTTCCCAGCCCTTTCTGAGTATATCAGGTTAAACAAAATGCCTCCAAGTAAGAGTAACTGGTATAACTGATAGTAGTTTGATAAACCTTGGTAAAGTCCTTTTAGCCTACCTCACAGAAAATAAGAAAGTGGATAATTCTAATGACTTTTGCAACGCAGGTGGTTTCAAATTCTCTGCTTTCAACAAAAAATAAAGGAAAATCTAATCAAGTTGTCAGCTGAGAAATTATTAAAAATAATTTCTGGTGATGAATCGCTATTATTTTTTTTTGCATGTATAGATACAGTCATTCCTTAGTATCTGCATGGGGTGAGTCCCAGGAGCCCCGTGGAGAACAAAATCCTTGGATGCTCAACTTCCTGAAATGAAATGGCATTCCATGCAAGGTAGGCTGAATTTATGGACATGGAACCTGCTGATGTAGAGGGCTGACTATATTTCAGAAAGTGTTCAATAAAGTGTGTGGCATCTTGTCATCTATTTATATATGCGAACAAGGTTTTTCAGCATTAGCATTTATTAAAAAAATAGAATTTATTGTTGAACCTTGTCTAATTCTAGGGTTAAGTAATGTTCATCACTCATGTAACTCAATAGCAAAACCTCCCACAAGTAATCCAATTAAAAAATGGGCAGAAGACCTATGTGTATATATATATATGAACGTTATTCTGCCAAAAAAAGAAAAAAAAAGAAAAAGAAGAAGAAAATCCTACCTTTTGTGACAACATGGATGGAGCTTGAGGGCATTACGCTAAGGGAAGTAAGTCAGACAGGGAAAGACCAATACTGTATGATCTCACTGAAGTGTGGAATCTAAAAAAGTTGAGCTCATAGAAATAGAGGGTAGAATGGTGGTAGCCATGGGCTGGGGGTAGGGGATATGGGGAGATGTTAGTCAAAGGGTAAAAACTTCCAGTTATATAATGAATAAATTCTGGGGAGCTAATGTAAAACATGGTGACTATAGTTAACAATACTGTATTGTATACTTGCAAGTTGCTAAGGAAGTAACTCTTAAGTGTTCTTACTGTAAAAAACAAAAGTAATTATGGGACATGATGGAGGTGTTAACTAACCTTATTGTGGTAAGCATTTTGCAAAATACACATATATCAAATCATCGAATCATACACAGTGTTAAATGTCAGTTATATCTCAATAAAGCTGCAGTGGGCAAGTAATGTTCATCCACAGAGAAATGTGTTTTTAAAAGAAGATGGACCGTCCATCTCATTAAGAGCTTTAATTCCAATAAAAATTTACTTTTTGTTTAACAATTATTTATATAAATTTACAATATTTTTTGTTTTGATTGATAGTAATAATTGCAATGATAATTCAATCCAGGAGAAAAAGTTAACAAGAGCCTTTTGGTCACAGGAAGTAAACAAGAGGGACTTCCCTGGAGTTCCAGTGGTTAAGACTCCCTGAGGGTTCGACCCCTGGTCGGGGGAAGCAGGGCTAAAGAAGTAAAAAAGGTTGAAAATTCAATATATATACATATTTTTGTTGCAGAAAATTATAACAAGGTGACGAAAGTGATCACAAAGTTATAAAAGACTTTCGTCATAAAATATACTCCTTAGAACAGAGTTCTGTGAGGAAAGTGGAATGGAAATACAAGTTCAAGATGAAAGAATGATAAAATTTCTGATGTAAAGGAAGAAATTGTTCATGTATTTTTCCAGCTAGGGCTGACCCCTCCTACCCCTCCCTCCTTTCTTGTAACCACTGCATGTTTTTGCATAAAACTTTTAGGAGGTGTCCAAGAAAAAAAAAGTTTGAAGACCACTGGTTAATCTACTCTTTCAAGAAATTTGGGGTGTAATGGAGAAGAGAAGGAGGGGTGGCTAGAAGGAGGCTTATATCAAAGGAAATTTTATTTGTTAAGATGGAAGATTTAAGCAAATGTGCCTGGAATTGTGCTTCTTTTCCAGAAAAGACAGGCGCTGAGAAGCTATGAGTTTACTTCAAATGAGAAGTCTCTGGAACAAAATCCAGGTAATCTATCAGTCAGGATAGGCTAGGTTATGCTGCAGCAACAAGCACCCACTAAATCTCAGTAACTTAAACATATCTCAGGTTTATTTCTCTCCTTTACTGCATGTCCTAGTGTGGGCCGGCAGGGGCCACCAAATTACGATTTCATCTCTATAGTTAGGGCAGCTGGCAGAAAAAGATGCAACGACTTACTAGCTTTTTAAGCTGATGTGAAGTTGAAGTATTACTTCTATGTGTTTCAAGAGTGTCAGAGAAGTGCCAATCCTACCAAGTGCCTAGACGGGGAAAGAGCTGGAAACTTGGATGAGCAGCGCTAAGGACTACTTCTGGTCATTTCCAGTATTGGAAATAGACACAAATTTGTATTATCTGGTACCTACTTTGACACCAGGCAATATGGGGTAAAATAAAATATAAGACATTTTTAGTTCATTTCAACAGATCACGGAGATACAGGCCCTGTTCTCTGCCATTCAGTTATTGCTGTGTAAGCCTGTAAGTTCCTTTGTCTCTTGGGGACTTTGCTCTTCCAGCTCTTACATTTTCTACTTGTAATGCACTTGGGACTGGAATAAGAGAGGAGGAAGAGAGCAAGCCCCACCAGAGCCAGGCCTGTTACCTGAAGAAAACACACTTTGGGACTTTCCTGGTGGCACAGTGGTTAAGAATCTGCCTGCCAATGCAGGGGACACAGGTTCAAGCCCTGGTCCAGGAAGATCCCACATGCCATGGAGCAACTAAGCCCGAGTGCCACAACTACTAAGCTGGCACTCTAGAGCCCGAGAGCCACAACTATTGAGCCCACGTGCCACAACTACTGAAGCCTGCGCACCTAGAGCCCTGTGTTCCACAAGAAAAGCCACTTGCAATGAGAAGCCCAGAGCAGCCCCTGCTCACTGCAACTAGAGAAAGCCCAGGCGCAGCAATGAAGACCCAACGCAGCCAATATATAAACAAATAAATGAATAAAAATTTTTAAAAATTAAATTATAAGAAAAAAAGAAAACAAACTTTAGTATTTTTGTCCTGAAGTCTATCGGGTAATGTGCTTTCAGTCAGCAGAGAGCAGTAAGGAAACAGTGGCTCACTTCTGCATTGTAATAGCGATTTTAAAAGTCTAGGGGTCACTCAACTTTGGCTGCACATTAGAATCATCTGGGGGAGGTTTTTAAAAATACCCCGCTGGGGCTCCACCCCAGACAATGAAATCAGACTCTCTGGGAGTGGAGGCCGAACAACATCGGTATTTTTAAAGAGTTTCACAGCTCTCTGCACCGAGTATTCTTCAACCCCTCACTACTTGTTGGAGTGGTTGGCTGACACCTAGTGGGCGCATTCTCAGAAAAGAGTTCTTAAATCGAATCCACTCCTTTTCCTCCTCCCAAGAGTTGTTGGGGTAGCTATCTATCTATCTAATCTATCTATTTAATCTAATCTATCTTATCTATTATCTATCTAATCTTTTTTTTTTTTTGTGGTACGCGGGCCTCTCACTGTTGTGGCCTCTACTGTTGCGGAGCACAGGCTCCGGACGCGCAGGCTCAGCGGCCATGGCTCACGGGCCCAGCCGCTCCGCGGCATGTGGGATCTTCCCGGACCAGGGCACGAACCCGTGTCCCCTGCATCGGCAGGCGGACTCTCAACCACTGCGCCACCAGGGAAGCCCCTTCTATTTAATCTATCTACCTATCTATTATCTATCTATCTAATCTATTATCTATCTACCTATCTACCTATTTATCTATTATCTATCTACCTATCTATCTATCCGATCTAATTTATCCATCTATCTATCATCTATCGCTCTATCTAATCTATTATCTATCTAATCCATCTACCTATCTATCCATTATCTATCTATCTATTATCTATCGATCTATCTTTACCTATCTATTATCTATCGAATCTATCTAATCTATTATCTATCTACCTATCTATCTAATCTATTATCTACCTATCTAATCTACCTACCTATCTATCTAATCTATCTATTTTCTATTATCTATCGATCTATCTTTACCTATCTATCTATTATCTATCTAATCTAGTATCTACCTATCTAATCTATTATCTATCTACCTACCTATTATCTATCTATTTAATCTACCTATCTATCTATCTAATCTATTATCTATCTAACCTATCTAATCTATTATCTATCTACTTACCTATTATCTATCTAATCTATTATCTATCTAATCTATTATCTGTCTACCTATTTATTATCTACCTATCTATCTATCTATATCTATCTATCTATCATCTATCTATCTATATCTTTTGGCCACACCGGGGGGCATGTGGGATCTTAGTTCCCCGACCAGCGGTCGAACCCGCACCCCCTGCAGTGTTAGCGGGGGTCCCAACCACTGGACCGCCAGGGAAGTCCCAGGGTTGCACTTTGATGGGAGTGGGGGACATCAAGCTAAAGAAAATCTTTGGGACATCAGCGGGTTTCTAACGGCCTGGGGCGAGCGCATTTCCCAGCGCATAAATCAGCTTGCAAAAGGACTGGAAAAAAGGAAACAAGGGTGGACCCAAGCTGCAGCGAAGGAGGAGGGGGCAGGGAGAGCGAGGGAGGAGCAGGAGGAGACGTAGCCGCAGGGCTGGCAGCCCCCGGCGTAGCCCTGACTTCCGCGCGCCAACCCCGGGGGTGGGCGGAGCGGCGGCGGTCTGGGGACCAGGGCGGGCCTGGACGCCTGTCCGGCCGTCCCCATGTGACTGGCCGAGGACGACCTGGGCTGCATCATCTGTCACGAGCTGCTGGCCCGGCCCGCCACGCTCTCCTGCGGCCACAGCTTCTGTCACAACTGCCTGATGGGTCTGTGGGGCGCAGGGCGCCACGGGTCCTGCCCCACCTGCCGCGAGGGCGCCGAGCGGAAGAACACGATGCTGCAGGACCTGGAGGACAAGCACAGTCGGAAGGCGCGCGAGCTGGAGGGCCCGAACCCAGCGCCCGGACCCCCGCGCCGCACCGCACCGCGCAGCTGCCGGTAGGAAGGCGGGACCAGAGACTGCCCTCTGACCTCCATCTGCCCGCGCGCGCCGACTGCATCCCGTTATCCCCACGGCTCTTCCTCTCCTCCTGATTGTATTTTCACGTTACTTTTCTCAGTCTGAACTTTGGAAAGTTCTTTGGAAAGTTCAGAAAAATATGAAGAAGCAGAAAAAAAAAATCAAAATCAGAAATCCTATCAACCTAGGCGCTATCCACCCTGGCCTTTTTCCACTTATTTCCAGTCTTTCTGCACCCTCTCTGTCTCTCTGACAATTTTTAATTGTGCTAAAATATGTTTACATTATATAACATAAAATTTGCCATTTAACCATTTTAAAATGTACAATTCAGTGGCATTATATTTACAGTGCTGTGCAACCATCACCACTACCTAGTTCCAAAACTTTTTCATCACCACAAACAAGCTTTGTACCCATGAAGCAATAATTTCTCCCTCCCCTGCCCTCCAGCCCCTGGTAACCTCTATTCTACTTTCTGTCTCTGTGACTTTGCCTACTCTAGATATTTCATAGAAGTGGAATCATACAATATTTGTCACTTTGTTTCTGGCTTTGGCTTCTTTCACTTGCTATAATGTTCTCAAGATTCATTCATGTCATAGCATGTATCCGAACTTCATTCCTTTTTGTGGCTGAATAATAATTCCCTTGTATGATTATACCGCTTTTTTATTTTTGAATCCATTCAAACATCGATGGACATTTGGATTGTTTCCACCTTTGGGTTATTGCAAGTAATGTTGCAGTGAACATTGATGTACAAGTATCCGAGTTCCTATTTTCAGTTATTTTGGGTAGGAGTAGAATTGTTGGATCATATGGTAATTCTGTGTTTAACTTATTGAGGAACAGCCAAACTGCATTCCACAGCAACAACAATACTTTGCATTCCCATTAACAAAGTAGGATTCCAATTTTCCCCAACTTTTGCTCCTGGGACTTAGGTCTATTTGCTCCTGGTCTATTTGCTTCTGGGACTTAGGTTATTGTCTGTTTCCACCACAGTCTTTTGCCCCAGATACCTGCAAGTTTAACTCCGCTTGGCTGGGGGCTCGCAGAGCTGGTGGAACGGCTTATAGATACTGTCAGGAGCCTTCAGAGTCAGAGACATCTCCCAGAATCTGAACCAGACAATGAAATGAGCATCCTGGCTGTGGTAGGCTCATCTGGGAGAAGAAAGGATGTGCCAGGGGGTGGCGCTAGGGACAGCTCCCTGGGACAGCTAGGGAGCAACCTGAATCGGTTTGCAGTTGAAGGATGCGCTAAGTCCCAGTCTTTTACCATGCTCTTCACTACCAAACATGGATGATCGGGAGTTTGGAATGCTTGAGGTGAGGTAAGAAGGCTTCAAGTGGGCTAGGTTCTATCCTTATCACTCCACCTAGCTCTAAGATCACCCGTGACCTCTACGCAAATCCTGTAGACGTTCTAGCTCTTATCCTCATTGGCCTTTCAGCAGCCTTTGACACAATCAACCACAACTTCATTCTTTTTTTTTTTTTAATTTTTAAAAATTTTTGTATAATTTTGAAAGGTTACGGTCCATTTACAGTTATTAGAAAATACTGGTTATATTTCCTGTATGTACAATATATCCTTGTAGCCTATCTTACACCCAACAGTTTGTTCCTCCCACTGCCCTATCTCTATATTGCCCCTCCCTCCCCTCTACCCACTGGTAACCACTAATTTATTTTCTATATCTGTGAGTCTGCTTCTTTTCACAACTTCATTCTTGAAGCTTTCTTTTCCCTTAGCTCTGGGACACGAGTCTTCCAGCCTTTCTGCATTTCTCTCCAGCTGCTCCTTTTCAGTCTGTTTTGCAGGTTTACTCTCCACTGCTAAGCAGTGAAATGCTGGGATTCTTCAAGGCTGAGTTGTAGGTCACTGTCTGTTCCCCCTACAGGGTCCTCTGCATTCCTGTGGCTTTAACTACCACCTCTGTGCACAAATATAGCTTCAGCCTGGACCCTTCTCTGAGTTCTGGTCTGGTGTCTTCCTTCTCGTCTTCTCTTAGCATCTCAAAGACACATCGCACTTAATCCGTCTTGCACTGCTTCTCCTCTGGAATACCCCGTCTCAGCAACTGACCCTGTAGCCCTTCCAAGTGCACAAGCCAGAAACCTGGGAATCATGTCACCTCTTCCATCATCTGCCTAGACAGCTCTTGAATCTATTTACTATTCTTTTTTTTAAAAAAAATATTTATTTATTTATTTAATTTTTGGCTGCATTGGGTCTTCGCTGCTGCACGCGGGTTTTCTCTAGCTGCTGAGAGTGGGGGCTACTCTTCGTTGCGGTGCGCCGCCTTCTCATTGTGGTGGCTTCTCTTGTTGCGGAGCATGGGCTCTAGGTGTGCAGGCTTCAGTAGTTGTGGCACACGGGCTTCAGTAGTTGTGGCTCATGGGCTTCAGTAGTTGTGGCTCGCGGGCTCTACAGGGCAGGCTCTACAGGGCAGGCTCAGTAGTTGTGTCGCACATGCGACATGTCGGATCTTCCTGGACCAGGGCTCGAACATGTGTCCCCTGCGTTGGCAGGCGGATTCTTATCTGCTGTGCCACCAGGGAAGCCCCCTATTTACTATTCTTCAGCTCCTTAAAGGCGACTCTAATCCCATCCTATGACTATTTCTTGCCTGGATTTCTACCAAAGTCTTTTAATTGCTCTGATCTGTTCCCTCCAGAGTGTCACACTTCTTCCCATCACAGGGCCCACACCATGGAATGTTCGTCTTTTACTCTGTCATGTAGGTAGTGCCTGCTCATCCTTCAGACCTCAGCTAGATTATCACTTCCTTGGAGAAGCCTTCACTGATTTCCTTGAACAAGTCAAATCCCCTTATTAGAGGCTCTTATGTATGATTCCATGTACCTTTCATTTGTAGCAGTTGTTACAGTTGTGACTTGATAATGATTGGCACCATAATTTATTAATGTCTTTCATCCCTCTTCCCTTACACTGGACTCTAAGCTCTATGAGGGCAGTGACCTTAATGGCTTTTGTTCCTTTGTTCACTCTTGTATCCCCAAGCCTAACACAGTGCTTGGCACATAGTAAGCGCTCAACAAACTCCCAGTGTATTTGAGTGAGTGAATAAATGGGTCCTCAGGGATGCAGTGTGTTGGGGTAGAAGGTCTGAGAGTCTGTCCATAATTCCTGACATTGCCATTCACTAGTATTATGACCTTGGACAAGTCATTTCATCTTTCTGAGTCTCAGATTTCTATCTGTAAAACAAACAAAAATGATCCATGGCCTGCACCTCATTGGTTTAATGTGGAGATTTATTTTTTAAAGATCTTGCTTAAAAAAGTGCTTGAGGAATGTGAAAATATGGGACAATCAAATTAGCTATGACAATATAGTTAACCTCCATGAACTCCCTCTTTTGTAAAATGGGGATAATAAACCTATCTTGGAAAGTTGTTAGGCAAATTAGAGGTGAGCAGTGGAAAATATTCAGCAGGTGGTACCTACCCCTGTTATGATTGGCAAAAAGAATGGGAAATGGATTTTGCAAAGTTGGGAAGGAAAGTCAGGTGCTGAAGGTGGGAAGGTGGTGAGCAGATGAGAGGCTGTGTTGGGGAATAACAGGACCTGAAGTTAAAGTAAATCAGGGAGTGTGTGTTAGAGGCCCCAGAGAGCAGGGCCTGTATGCAGGCAACATGTTTGTCTTGGCCCTTAGGAAGAGTTATGATAGCAGTCTGGGGAAGATTATTTCAGCCTCTGTAGCTTATCTTAGTGACTATCTGTATTATTTATTTTGTAAAGCCCCTATAAGATGGGCCTAAAATTTTCAAACTTTTTGGGGGTATGAGCTAAGAACTCCATATCTGTTGTACAAAATACTAGAAAATATATTGCAGTTGAAAAAACAAATGAAAATCATCCATAACCCCATCACCAAGAAATCGCCATTCTCTAATATTTTTGCCATACTATGTATCATTCCAGATTGTTTTCAAGGCGCATACTTTGAGGACCTAACTATGTTTTGAAAAACCCGTTAGGAGGTAAGTAGAAAATTATAGATGGTTGGTAGAACTGGAATATATATATATTTATTTATTTATATATATTTTTTTGCTGTACGCAGGCCTCTCACTGCTGTGGCCTCTCCCGTTGCGGAGCACAGGCTCCGGACGCGCAGGCTCAGTGGCCATGGCTCACGGGCCTAGCCGCTCCGTGGCATGTGGGATCTTTCTGGACCGGGGCACGAACCCGTGTCCCCTGCATCGGCAGGCGGACTCTCAACCACTGCGCCACCAGGGAAGCCCCGAACTGGGATATATTTGATGCATTCCTTAAGAGATTTCCTTTTTTCCTTCCTTCCTTCCTTTCTGTCTTCTTCTTCCTATTATTATTATTCTCCTCCTTCTTCTTTTTTTTTTTTAAAAATGATTCATCAGTAGGCTTTGTCAGATGGGGTGGACCTTTCCTTGGCTTCTCCAAAACTAGTGACTTCCAACACACCTGAGGGGAAAATGAGAGACATCTCCATGACCTAGAAGAGATCCAAGAAAAATTACAAGAAAACTTCATGTGGAAAGAGGCCCTTGAAGAACAAACTAAGGGTGAGTTGATTTTATTTGGTAAAGGAGGTTTAATTATGGAAGTTGGGGCAGCGTTCCGTGGCTTTGTTTTTTGGGGACAGGATCTGAGAGCCCAGCTGTGTTATCCCTGTGGTGTGAATGAGGAAGGAGTGGGCTGAGCTATTTTTGTGACTGGATGTGTTTTTGGACCTGACTGGAGGTGTGATGTATCACAGGCCCTTCATAGATAGAAACTCATTTTCTAAGACCTATAAATCCAGAACCTAGACCTGATTTTGCTTGCTCACCGTGCATCTGTGTTATCTACCTGAGGAGATTCAGAAATAGGCGCTTTTTATTTTTCACTAGTAAATGTCCTTATTAATGAAGCATGCAACTTTGTATATAGTTCTTCATAAATTCTACTCAACTGGGCTTCCCTGGTGGCGCAGTGGTTGAGAGTCTGCCTGCCAATGCAGGGGACACGGGTTCGTGCCCCGGTCCGGGAAGATCCCACATACCGCGGAGCGGCTGGGCCCGTGAGCCATGGCCGCTGAGCCTGCGCGTCCGGAGCCTGTGCTCCGCAGCCGGAGAGGCCACAACAGTGAGAGGCCCGCGTACCGCAAAAAAAAAAAAAAATTCTACTCAACTGTAATCTCTGGCCAGTGTGTTTAATAATAAAGGGTAACAATGTAGAAAACAACCTTTCTGTCCTGACTTTTAGGTTCGCTGTTGTTCAGTGGCTCAGGATTGAAAAACAATTCACACCTGCCCCTTAGACAAGTGCTCTGGTCTCCCTTGCCTCTGCCTCCTGACTCGGCCACGGCAGGCCTTGTATGCTTTAGAGACGTATCTCTTAGAGCTTTTAGATATTTAAATCATCTTGCTCTGTTAAAAAGTTTCTTATTTAAGTGGAGAAGCATGATTCCTTGGGAAAAGTTTCTTAAGGAAACCAGTTAGAGTACAGTTTATTAATTGTTCCAAAAACGATCTGAGAAATAAAGTGACCTCTTAGCTCCTGTGTGCTCCTAAATTTAGGATGGGTTCCTAATTTAAAATCTAAACTCGAGCTTTGAACTTGAGGATTAAATTTAAAATTTTTAATTCAAAAGTCAAAAAATATAAAAAGACACAACAAAAGTGTTGTGTTCCTACTCTGGTCCAATTCCTCTTATTCCCCCAGTTAACCACCTTTACTAGTTTTCTTAAGTGTCCATGCAGAATTGACTTTTGTAAGTACAAGCAAACACAAGTTTATATTCTTATCTCCCCCAATCTTTTTTTTTTACACAAAAGTTAGCATACTGTATACACTGTTCTGCATTTTGCTTTTCTTTTTTTCCTTAATATATCTTGATACCTTTACAAATCAGTACCTCAAGCATTTTCTCTTTAAAGCTGCATAATATTCCAATTTATGGATATGCCAACGTTTATTTACTCAACCCTTTACTGATGGATGCATGATTATTCCCAAGTATTTATAATTGCAAACAATGCTGAAGTCAATTACTGTATATACATCATTTTATATGAGTGCAGATATAATTGTAGGTTAAATTACCAGTAAGGATTGCTGGGTCATAGAGTAAATTTTGCAATTTTGATAACATTGACAAACTGCTCTCCAGTTGGGTTATATCAGTTGACACTCTTACAGAAGAAATGTTTATCCCCCAAGCCTGCCAACACAATGTGCTGTCAAACTTTTGTATTTTTTTTGCCAATCCAATGGGTTTAAAAAAAGTGATATATTTGTGTACTGTACTTTTAATTTGCATTTCTCCATGAATTGTCTGTTTATATCTTGTGTTGTTGGTCCTTTAAAAATTTGATTTTTAGGAACTCGTCATAAATTAGGGAGATTAGCCTTTTGTCTGTGACGTGAATTGCAGATTTTGTTCCCCAATTTGTCATTTATCTTTTTTTTTTTTTTTTTTTTTTGCGGTACGCGGGCCTCTCACTGCCGTGGCCTCTCCCGATGCGGAGCACAGGCTCCGCACGCGCAGGCTCAGCGACCCACGGGCCCAGCCGCTCCGCGGCACGCGGGATCCTCCCGGACCGGGGCACGAACCCGCGTCCCCTGCATCGGCAGGCGGACTCCCGGCAGGCGGACTCCCAACCACTGCGCCACCAGGGAAGCCCTGTCATTTATCTTTTGATTCTGTTTAGTGTGGGTTTTAGAATGTCATATAGACATTTTTATATTTTCAAGTAGTACATTTTATCAGTGTTTTCTTTTGTGGCTTCTAGATTTTAAATTTTAGTTAGAAAACTTCACCACCTCAAGTGGTGTGTGTGTGTGTGTGTGTGTGTGTGTGTGTGTGTGTACATTTTTATATTAAATCTTTGGTTTCACATATAAATCTTTCACCCATTTGAAATTTATCCTACCATGTGTCCTAGTGAATTTTTAAATAATAATGTAAATGTTTTAGAACATTTATAATATTTAATGCTGTTGCTCTGGTTGAAATGTTTCTCCTTATTTAACTGGAGAAACATGATATCTTTGGAAAAAATTATGACTTTCTATGATTATTTAAGTGTGCATTTTTAATTTTAATTTTTAATTGTGGTAAAATACATATAACAAATGCACCATCTTAACCATTTTTAAGTTTACAGTTGAATAGTGTTAAGTATATTCATATTGTGTGCAACCAAGTTCCAGAACGTTTTCATCTTGCAACACTGAAACTCTATACCCATTAAACAGTCACTCCCCATACCCTCCTTCCCCAGCCCCTAGCAACCACCATTCCACTGTCTGTTTCTATGAGTTTGATTACTCCAAATAGCGTATATAAGTGGAATCGTGAAGTGTTTATCTTTTTGTGACTGACTTATTTCACTTAGCATCCATATTGTTGGATCCAAGTTTCATCCATATTGTTGACTGTGTCAGAATTTCCATCCTTTTAAGGGCTGAATAATATTCCATTGTATTATACACATATATATACCACATTTTGTTTACCCGTCCATCCATCCATCTATCGATGGACATTTGGGTTGCTTCCACCCATTGGCTACTGTGAATAATGCTGCCGTGAACATGGGTGTATGAACATCTCTTTGAGACCTTGCTTTCAATTCTTTTGTATATATGCCTACAAGTGGAATTACTGGATCATATGGTAATTCTATTTTTAATTTTTTGAGGAATTAAGTATACATATTAAGTATTTTTAAAATTTAACTTAGAAAATTCAAGTATGCCTTAGCAAGTACAACGTTGATTATTTTGATTATTTTGATTTTGATTATTTGGACCAGTCCAGGACAGTTTTAAGACATAAGATCTGAATATATCCCTATTTCCTGAAACATCATTTCCTGAAGTTCTCACAAGATTGTTTTTAAGACAATAGATTAGTTATTCTTCAAGTCAGCACTCTAACAGCTGCTAAACAATTTGACTGCCTCATCACAATGATTTCCTTTGACCCTATGTAAACACACCATGAGCTGCCACGGAAATCACGCAGCCTAAAGGGCACAGTGTTTCTTGAGTATAACCCGGGACTCTCTGTAACACTAATAAGAATGCAGATAATCTCCAGGTTTGTTGGCCTATGTTTTTTTTTTTTCCTTATATGTTCTTTTTGTGGCTTTGATATCTTTATTATAACTTCATAATATTAATTAAAAATCTTTCCACCCTTAAAAAAAAAAGCAGAATCCAAGGCCCATGGCCAGCCCCAAGGATTTGCATTTTTGACAACTTTGCAGGGGATTTTCATGCACACTAAAGTTTTGATAAGTATTTTGGTGCAGCTTACCCAGCAGGGGTGATTATTTGTAATACAAATTTAATTACTGGGGAATACAGCTGACCCTTGAACAACATGGGGGTTAGGGGCACCAAACGCCTATACAGCCAAAAATCTGACTATAACTTTTTTCTTTTTTTGTAAACAGGAGTCCTATTTTATTTTATTTATTTATATTTTTAATTAATTAATCTTTGGCTGCGTTGGGTCTTCGTTGCTGCACGTGGGCTTTCTCTAGTTGCGTCGAGCAGGGGCTACTCTTCGTTGTGGTGCGTGGACATCTCATTGCGGTGGCTTCTCTTGTTGCGGAGCTCGGGCTCTAGGTGCGCACGCTTCAGTAGTTGTGGCTCGCGGGCTCTAGAGCGCAGGCTCAGTAGTTGTGGCGCACGGGCTTAGTTGCTCTGTGGCATGTGAGATCTTCCCGGACCAGGGCTCGAACCCGTGTCCCCTGCATTGGCAGGCAGATTCTTAACCACTGTGCCACCAGGGAAGTCTTCACTATAACTTTTGACTGCCCCAAAACTTAACTACCAATAGCCTACTGCTGACTGGAAGCCTTACAGATAACATAAACAGTTGATTAACACATATTTTGTATGTTTTATGTATTATATACTGTATTCTTACAATAAAGTAAGCCAGAAAAAAAATTTTATTAAGAAAAGCATAAAGAAGAGAAAATACATTTACAGTACTCTACTGTAGCTATCTATACTGTAAGTTTACATCATCTGTTTATGAGATGAATCGTCTGTCTGTCAGTACATACACATTGTCTTATATGATAAAAAGCACTGAGGATGTTATACATATTACTAACACTAGACATCAAAAATGAAAAGGTAATGCAAAAAAGAAATTCACATTTATTTACAGGTGTAACTATTCATGCATTGATAACAAAGAAGCAACAGTATGCTTGCTTTGTGGTAGCCTAGCCTATACGCTAATGAATTAATCATTATAAAATTTTTATGGCATACAATATTACAGTCATATTCATAACACAGTATTAGAAACATTGTTATTTTTTAAACAAAAACCAGTTACCTATGATGATAGGCTGTTAGAGAGGGAGAGAAAGAAAACTGGAGAGAAGGAAAACTAACACACTACTAATTTTATATTAAATGTCACTCACCTTATGCTTATGTAAGGAAAGGCTATCCACTTCAATACAAGTCTTGCATGTGACGTTCTACACATATATTTTTGTGTATTTATTGATCCACATATATTTTTGTATATTTATTGATCCACATATATTTTTGATCCACATATATTTTTGTATATTTATTGAAAAAGATAAGTGGACCTTCGCAGTTCAGACCTGTGCTATTCAAGGGTCAACTGTAATTTTATGCAGAACAATTCTACTTAGAATGGTTTGTTCTTGAAATTATTATTTTAAATTCCCAAGGGATCCAAGGGATCCTGGCTACTCTAAAAAAAAAAAAAAAAAGCCTGTAGCTTATTCTCTTAGTAGAGAAATGAGATTCTTTAGATTCTGTTTTAAAGAAATTTCTCAGCAATTAAGTTTATATAACAAATATTTCTGGCAAATCAATTGTTTAATAAACCATCATTTTTTGTTCTTTTATGAAACCTATCATAATCAGTGGGTAAGCAGTTGAGTTTATACCCAGAGAGATTAACATATCAAAATACTTCATTTCTGTAATAGTTACCAGTGTCTAATAGCTACTCAATATTTATGAATGTATATCATGTTTCTTTTTTTCTAAGTATTTTTTTAACATCTTTATTGGGGTATAATTGCTTTACAATGGTGTGTTAGTTTCTGCTTTATCACAAAGTGAATCAGTTATACATATACATATGTTCCCATATCTCTTCCCTCTTGCGTCTCCCTCCCTCCCACCCTCCCTATCCCACCCCTCTAGGTGGTCACAAACCACCGAGCTGATATCCCTGTGCTATGTGGCTGCTTCCCACCAGCCATCTATTTTACGTTTAGTAGTGTATATATGTCCATGCAACTCTCTCACTTTGTCACAGCTTACCCTTCCCCCTCCCCATATCCTCAGGTCCATTCTCTAGTAGGTCTGTGTCTTTATTCCCATCTTACCCGTAGGTTCTTCATGACTTTTTTTTTCCCTTAGATTCCATATATATGTGTTAGCATACGGTATTTGTTTTTCTCTTTCTGACTTACTTCACTCTGTATGACAGACTCTAGGTCCATCCACCTCACTACGAATAACTCAATTTCGTTTCTTTTTTCTAAGTATTTTTAAGAATCAACCAGTCAAGTGTAGATTATTTTCTCTATCAATAGGGGAAAAACTTGTGTTAGCTAAAAAATAAAAGAAGTAGCTAGCAGTTCTTACAAACATTTTTAAAACTGTGATTAACGATAAGTAAAATCCTATCAGCTCAATAGAAAGAAGAGTGGTACCCCACGCAGATTCTGAGCATGGCTTCTTGAAGGGCAGCTCTCCTGCTCTCATGACCTAAGTGTCCACAGCCCACACCCTAGATAGGGCCTTTTGTCTCTTCTCAGTCTGACTCTTGGATTCACTTTATGCTGCTGTCACCTCAAGGTACAAATAGGGGAAAATTTCACCTTCACAGTCCATACTCTGACATTTCCCTTACTGTCCCTTATTCTACCTAACTATGGTCATTGCAAGCACATAGTAGTTTTAAGGTAACAATTAAACTTCAGTACAGTTTGGGATTAGCCGATGCAAACTGTTGCATGTAGAATGGATAAACAACAAGGTTCTACTGTGTAGCACAGGCAACTATATTCAATATCTGAATGAATGAATGTGTGTAAGTATGAGCCTAGAGTAGGAATGCTGTGTATTAGTAATTATTTGCTCCCTTAAAAGAAAACATTATGAAATATACAAAATGAATGACATGATCCTTAATCAGGAAGATCGTAAGTGGAGAGATATAAACAGCCATGGTCATCAATCACTGTACTACAGGTAGAAGATGGTAAGTATCATTAGAGATCAGGTAAAGTATTCGGGGAAAAGCAAGATGTGACTTTTTTTTTTTTTTTTTTTTGCGGTACGCGGGCCTCTCACTGTTGTGGTCTCTCCCGTTGTGGAGCACAGGCTCCGGACACGCAGGCTCAGCGGCCATGGCTCACAGGCCCAGCCGCTCCGCCGCATGTGGGATCTTCCTGGACCGGGTCACGAATCCGCATCCCCTGCATCGGCAGGTGGACTCGCAACCACTGCGCCACCAGGGAAGCCCCAAGACGTGACTTTTGCTGGGGCAGGGGGCTTCGCAGAAGGCTTCCTGAAAGAGGGCTAATGGGTAAGTAGAAATTAAGGTGGGAAAGGAGGGTATTGTTACTAGAACAACATCAGGGGTATGTATAACAAGGTCCTACTGCAAGTTGATGCACCAATATTTTTTTTTTTTATTTATTTTGGCTGTGTTGGGTATTCATTACTACACGCGGGCTTTCTCTAGTTGCGGCGAGCGAGGGCTACTGTTCGTTGCAGTGCACGGGCTTCTCATTGCAGTAGCTTCTCTCGTTGCGGAGCACGGGCTCTAGGCGCACGGGCTTCAGTAGTTGTGGCGCACAGGCTTCAGTAGTTGTGGCGCACGGGCTTAGTTTCTCCGTAGGATGTGGGATCTTCCCGGACCAGGGCTTGAACCTGTGTTCCCTGCATTGGCAGGCAGATTCTTAACCACTTTGCCACCAGGAAAGTCCCTTGATGCACCAGTTTTAATGCCAGTATGTGTAAAACTTTTTCACACTCAAAGACACAAAGCTGCTTTTTGCTATTTGAAGACCTCTTAGCATGAACCATCAGAGGTGGCTAGTCCTGTTCTGGTTTTTTTCCCCAGGGGTCATCAATCCAACCTTTGACCTAGGGAGCCTCTCCTGTAGCCTGGAGGTGTCCAAGGATCACTGTATCTCACCGCCCACAGCCCTATCCCTGGAGTCATGAGAGGTTTGCCTCCTGCCAGGCCTTATGTTCCCAGGCTCTCTCTTCTGGGCAGCAGTACTGGGAAGTGGACACTCAGCGATGTAGCCACTGGGCAGTTGGGGTGGCTTCCCAGGGGATGAGGCGTGACCAGATCCTGGGAAGGACCAGGGACTCCTGGTGTGTAGAGTGGAAAGGGACTAGCCAGCTCTCTGCATGGGACATGGTCAAGAAAACTGTCCTTGGCTCAAACAGACCTAGTGTGGTGGGCATCTGGCTGGACCTTGAGGAGGGAAAGCTTGCCTTCTATTCTGTGGCTGATCAGGTGAAGCTCCTCTGTGAGTGCCCAGTCTCTGTTGCCTTTCCTCTGCACCCTGCCTCTGGCTGTATGGCTTATTCCCTGGAAGCTCTCTGACTATGAGGCAAATAAACATATAAACATTCCCTGGGTGTTAAAACATGTTGATTTCCTGGTCTCCCTGCCTTCAAGCAGGGAGTCAAGTTGAGTTAAGTTAACATCCCGCTTCCAAAGTTAAGGGATGCAAAGTAAATGTTTAACCCAGCAGGCTTGCATTGTTCAAACCCTGCACGGTCCGGTTACAAGAAAGGACAGGCTCTTGAGTGGGAGATAGTATCTAAGCCCTTGGAATATCCTGCCTGATAAGAGTATATTTATCTGAGGGCCTTGGGCCACACAGTATCAGCTTGATTTCTGGAAGGGCTGGAAACTAAGGTCAGCCACTTGGGCAGTGAGTCTGCCTACATGACCGACCGCCAGTCAAAGCCTTGGGCACCAAGACTTGAATGTGCTTCCCTGGTTGGCAGTATTCCGTGGGCGTTGTTATACATCATCCTGGGAGAATTAAACATTGTCCCCATAACTCCACTGAGAGAGGAGTGAGTGGGCTCTCTTGGCCCCTGCCCTATGTGCCTTTTTCTGTTGCTGGTTTTAACCTGTACTCCTTTCACTGTAACCACCTGTAACCGTAAGTATAACAGCTTTGCTGAGTTCTGTGAGTCCTTCTAGTGCATCACTGAAAATGAGATTGATTTTAGGGGACCCCCCCTACACACACGCAAGGGGCATGCTATCAATTGCTGTGTAATACTATTATCACACATTCGGTGGTTTCAAACAACACATATTTATTCTCTCGCAGCTTCTGTGGGCCAGGAGTCAGGATACAGCTTAGCTGAGGCCTCTGTTTTGGAGTCTCACAAGCTGCAGTCAGGGTGTGAACTGGGGCCGGGTGACATCTGAGGCTCCACTGGGGAAGGATCTGCTTCCAAGCTCACGTGGTTGTCGGCAGGATTCAGTTCCTTGTGAGTTGTCAGACTGAGGACCCCCCCTCAGTTCCTTACTCGGTGGGCCTCTGCAACATGGCTGCTTACTTCTTCAAAGCCAACAAGGGAGATCAAGTTTCCTAGCAAGGTGGACATTAAATCTTATATAATGTAACCACAGGGACATATAATCACACGTATGCCATCGCCTTTGCCTTATTCTATTGGTTAGAAGCAAGTCACAGGTCCCGCCCACATTTAAGGGGGTGGGGTTCACAAGGGCATGAATACCAGGAGGTGGGGTGGTCCTTACAGTCTGGCTGGCACATGGTATCATCTCATACTTGATTTCCCCTATTTTTTAGAATCATTTTATTATATTAACAGAATGGACAGAGAAAACTACACAAAACACATGTGCAGTGTAAGGAATAATAATAATTATTATTATTATTAAACACACTTGTAACTACCTTTCAGGTCAAGAAATAAAGCCTTGGGCTTCCCTGGTTGCCCAGTGGTTGAGAATCCACCTGCCAATGCAGGGAATACAGGTTCGAGTCCCGGTCTGGGAAGATCCCACATGCCTCAGAGCAACTAAGCCCGTGTGCCACAACTACCGAGCCTGCGCTCTAGAGCCCGTGAGCCACAACTACTGAGTCCACGTGCCACAACTACTGAAGCCCGCATGCCTAGAGCCCGTGCTCCACAAGAGAAGCCACCGCAATGAGAAGCCCGCGCACCACAACAAAGAGTAGCCCCCGCTCGCCGCAACTAGAGAAAGCCCACACACAGCAACAAAGACCCGATGCAGCCCAAAAATAAATAAATAAATAAATTTATAAAAAAAAAAAAAAAAAGAAAGAAAACCTTGCTGCCCACCCCCGAAGCTCTTTCATGTGCCCCATTCCAATCACAAAACCCTCCGTCCACCTGAAAGGCATCCTGACTTTTATAGTAATCACTTACTTGCATTTCTTTAGAGTTTTAGCGCCCAAACATGCATCCCTAGCATAAACCCTAAAAAACCCTGATATATCTTTTTCTTAACGGCTTTGTTGAGATATAGTTTACATACTATAAAATTCACCTATTTAAAGTGTACAAATCAATGTGTTTTAGTATGTTTACAGAGTTGTGAAACCATCACCATAATCTAATTTTAGAACATCTTCATCACGCACAGGAAGAACCCTCATACCTATCAACAGTTGATATGTCTCTGAAGTCTCCTGATCTACAGCCTTCCCCTCCCTTTCTTCTCCTTACGATTCATCTGTAGGCTGTCAGGCTCTATTAGCACCTGTTGGAGAGGTGGAACTCCAGCTCTGTTGGATGGGGTTGAGCAGAAAGCCTTGCCACACGAACCAGCCAGACAATCTTTGACGGTGCATTTCACTTCTTTGCCTCTCTTTCCCCTGTAAAATGGAAATAATTATTATTCGCCCTTCCTTACCTTCCTCAAAGGGTTGCTGAAAGAATTGATGTAATAGATGAGGACACTGGAAGAATGCCAGGGTGATTATAACCACAGCAAAAATGACATAACTATATTTTCATATCACACACCTTGATCTCTAACATCTGTAGATTCACATCTAATTTCCATAGGGATCCTCGAAAAACAGGAGCAAGCAGAAGTCTTCCCCTGTGATCTACTCATTTACTCTCTGAGCCTCATGACCACCCTGCGTGATGAGTGTTCTTATCTTTCTGTTAACATACGAGGGAAGGGTGGGGGTCCTGGACCGGTTGAGGGCTTTGTGCAGGGCCAGTCAGCTGAGCGTGGCAGAGCTGGGAGCTGGCCCAGTGTTCCCACTGTCAAGTCTCTTAACCTTAATACCCTCTGATAAGGTCCCAGTTGAGACCAGGACCTGGGCATCCACTTTGATAGGACACAGCTCTAAAGCCACGAGGTGCTCTTTTTTTCTTGTTGTTGGTGGCAGTTCTCAGTGTAGTGGCCTTGAGTTGCCTAAGCAGGGACAGGGCCTCTCTGTGCCAGGTGACCATTAAAAGGCCCTCTGTTCTCACTTTGTACCTTATGGAGCCTTTATCTTCTCACCCAGAGTCACCTTGATGTTTGCCTTTTGAAAGTGCCAAGAATTTAGAGGCCAGGGTTTTAGCTTCTTAGGTCCTTTGATTAAGTACCATCCTTGCGGGTGGTTTGGATAATGGGGCCTCTGTCCGCGTGGGGTTTATTGGCTGGCCACATGATTTCCCCAAGCTGCAGCCAAAGCACAAGAATCATAGAGATGGGGAACAAAGGTTATCGTTTCTGGCTTCCTTGCTTTTGTCTCACGTTTTCCGTCAGCATATCCCTTCCAGTACACTGTGGAAAATAGCACCCTTCACTCAAACAAAACAGAAAATGCTCCCAAGGAGAAGAGCTGAAGCTGAAATGCCAGTGGATGAAGGTACCTCTCACTGGGGTCTACACCGTGTGTGGGACGAAGTCATCCACCGTGGACCAAGCCAGACGTCCCATCAGGGGCTCCTGGGGCAGCCGCTCACCCCATCTGGAGATGTTTCTCTCAAACATCTAAGTGGTTGTACCCATTTTTGGAGTCTAGGGCTTTGGGTTCCTGGAAGAACCACCTGCTAAGCAGGAAGCCACCACCTTCTTAAGGCTCACAACAACCTCTAATAGAGTTATACCTATCTGTCCCTTGCTTCTCCCTGAAGTACTTTTTTTTTTTTTTCCGGAAGAGTTTAATTTGAAGACTTTATTTCCTAGCTGATTGCAGAAACAAACCACAAAATGAAACAGTGCTGCTCTCTGGGGAGACCTCTCAGGCTGCCTTGCGCAGTTCAAGGGAGAAGTCCCTTCCCCAGGGGGCACTTGGGGATTTTGACAGGAAAAGGGGACTCTTCCCTGGTATATGTTCAGCTCCATCACCCCCTACTCTTGCTGAGCCCTTAGCCCCAAATTCATCCTCATTCATAATTGCTCAAAACCCTAATCACTGGGTCCTTCCAGACAACTGCAGTCTTCTTTAATTATACATACTTAGGTTATGCTGAAGATTTTTAAAATATATTTATTTATTTATATTTATTATTTATTTAAACTGTGCCGGGTCTCAGCTGTGGCATGCAGGCTTCTTAGTTGCTGCATGCATGAGGGATCAAACCTGGGAGCTCTGCATTGGGAACGTGGAGTCCTACCCACTGGACCACCAGGGAAGTCCCTGAAGATTTGTTTTGATTTGGAATTTATCTTCCTAACCAGCCATAGGGTTTTTTTTTTAACATCTTTATTGGGGTATAATTGCTTTACAATGGTGTGTTAGTTTCTGCTTTATAACAAAGTGAATCAGTTATACATTATCTCTCCCTCTTGCGTCTCCCTCCCTCCCACCCTCCCTATCTCACCCCTCCAGGCGGTCACAAAGCACCTAGCCGATATCCCTGTGCCATGTGGCTGCTTCCCACTAGCTATCTACCTTACGTTTGTTAGTGTATATATGTCCATGCCTCTCTCTCGCCCTGTCACAGCTCACCCTTCCCCCTCCCCATATCCTCAAGTCCGTTCTCCAGTAGGTCTGTGTCTTTATTCCTGTCTTACCCCTAGGTTCTTCATGACATTTTTTTCCCTTAAATTCCATATATATGTGTTAGCATACGGTATTTGTCTTTTTCTTTCTGACTTACTTCACTCTGTATGACAGACTCTAGGTCTATCCACCTCATTACAAATAGCTCAATTTCGTTTCTTTTTACAGCCATAGGTTTTTTAAGGACAGGGTTTCTTAAGCTTCAGCCTTTCATGTGCCATGATTCTTGTTACATCTGCATATCCCCTGTACTTTTTTTTTTTTTTTGGCAAGGCAGCCTGGCTTGTGGGACCTTAGTTCCCGGACAAGGGATCGAACCCGGGCCCCCTGCAGTGGAAGTGCGGAGTCCTAACCACTGGACCAGCAGGGAATTTCCGTCTCGTGTACCACGTTTTACTTAATATTTTTCCTAAATCAACTCACATCTCCCCTTTTAGGTACATGTATTTCAAAAGGAAACTTTAAAATATTTATATAAATGAAAACCAGAATCATGTGTCTTAATTAGAGGGATAAGCCTAAATGTATGTTTCAAGAAAAACAAAACAATGACTAGCTTGGTACCGTTGTCTGTCTAAGTTTCTGAACCTGAAGTGGGCTTGCCCTCTCCCTCTCTTTCTTTCTCTCTCTGGCTCAAAAGAAGATTATCAGGTATTTAAGATTTACTGAGGATTTCACCTTGACTTAATCAGGATGGAAAGAAAATAGAAAAAGGAAACCTTTCTGCCCACAAGAGTCACTGTTTCTGACGTCCCTGCACAACTTTTACACCTCTTATTCCACCACTTTGCGAAACGTGATTCTAAGAGATTGGTCTGGTGCAATATGGAAGACTGTGTCTTCCTTCTGTGTGAAGGGAAATTGTTTCACCCTTATTCTTCAAAATAAATACACCCTGGGGGAGAAAAACTTATGGCTTTGGTCAGTGACAATCTCCAGGACACAATGTCTTGGAGTTACCATAGGAGCTTTTCTGATACCACCTTCTGTACAATTAGTCACCAAGTTCTGACCCTCGATTCTGCTTTCTCAAATCATTTCAAATCTGCCCCCCCCTTCCCTCTGCATCTGCTCTCTGGTTCAGACTCCCATCACATCTCTCCCAGGTTATTTTAATTTATTTATTTTTGTCTGAGTTGGATCTTCATTGCTGTGCATGGGCTTTCTCTAGTTGCGGTGAGCGGGAGCTACTCTTCATTGCGGTGCGCGGGCTTCTCATTGCGGTGGCTTCTCTTGTTGCGGAGCACGGGCTCTGGGCGCGTGGGCTTCAGTAGTTGTGGGTCGTGGCTCTAAAGCGCAGGATCAGTAGTTGTGGTGCACAGGCCCACCTGCTCCGCAGCATGTGGGATCTCCCCGGACCAGGGCTCAAACCCGTGTCCCCTGCATTGGCAGGTGGATTCTTAACCACTGTGCCACCAGGGAAGCCCTCTCCCGGATCATTTTAATGCGAGCTCCTCTATCTCTAGTCAGAAGCCCCCTTCCCATCCATTCTCAGTCTGCTAATGTGAACTTTCCAAAATGGAAGTCAGATCATGTCACTGCCCTGCTTAAAACTCCCCAGTGCTCCCCACCTACAACAGGAAGTTCTGCTTCCTGTTTCTGCTCTTACCTACCTCTAGCCCCCATTTGCTGTCATCCCCCGACATACACCCTCCACCCCAGCCTCCCTGCTTTGTGTCACACTATGTACTTTTGCAATTCCGGTTTGCTTTGCCTGGAGTGTCCCCCCAACCCCCCTTGTCCAGAGTTGAAAACTGTTTACCCAGAGTGGATCTGGTTTCCACCAAGAGGACTGGAGTCTTTCACTGTCACTGTGTCTAACGTGGCAACATGTGCACAATGAATTTTGATCAGATCAAAACTGACTCACTAATTGTAGAAGCAGGTACTGGAAGGCCACTCAGGCTAAAATCATGGTCATTTTCCTAGGGGCTTTCTGGGGATATTTTCAGTTTTGCTGGGTTAAGGCATTGTGTTGCCTGGGAGGTTGTCTGTGAACACAGCCAGACAGGGAGAGCAGATTACTGGAAGGAGTGGGACACAGTCACACAAGTCTGGCTGGTTTTGGCTAGGGGTGGGGTGGGGAGAGAGGAGGTAGAAAGATTTACATTATGGGCTTCCCTGGTGGCGCAGTGGTTGAGAGTCCGCCTGCCGATGCAGGGGACACGGGTTCGTGCCCCAGTCCGGGAAGATCCCACATGCCACGGAGCGGCTGCGCCCGTGAGCCATGGCCGCTGAGCCTGCGCGTCCGGAGCCTGTGCTCCGCAACGGGAGAGGCCACAACAGTGAGAGGCCCGCATACCGCAAAAAAAAAAAAAAGATTTACTCTGTACCAAAGCATTGGACTTTTCTTCTCCACTAGATCAGGCTCGGCAGGAAAAGGAGGAAGTCTTCCTGGAAGGAATGGGAGACCAGAGTGAAGATGGATACCACTCTGGGTTTAATTTGAGATACCAAAGATAGATGGGTCTGAAGAGTGGGACCAATGCCAACCCATCTAATTTGGACTCCTGCCCAGGACTGTGTCTAACTCACCAGTCAGAGACAAGCCTCTTGTTCCACCCAATGTCAGTCATTTAACACACACTATATCTTCTTCCCAGCAGTCCTGCCCACCAGCCCTGGGGTGTTCCACTGTCCTGAGACTCAGAGAGAGGCTGTGTTGCAAGTTCCTTCTTTGATAGGTGTGAAAGATGGATCCTCTTAAATCCTGGCAAAGGTACTTTGTTCAGACCCCCAGTGTCCCCTTCACAATTGAGAAGCCATGAAGTTTGTCTTGCGAAGGTAGAGCTCCTTCCCAGCATTCTAGAGGGAAATTCCATCAGGGCTTTCTAGATACTAATCTGTCCTCTTGGCTTTATCCAATGTACTTAATATACATACAGTCATCTATCTGTAATATCCCAACAGTAAATTCCACTGCCAACAACTCCATTCTCTGGTTTCTGTGTTGCTGCGGTGTGTGTCATCGTGTGGCTCTATCATCTGGCTCAGAAAGATGTACAAAAGTCACTTCTCTCACAGTTTATTTTATTTATCCAACGTTTGTATATTACAGACCACGTACCAGGCACTATTCAAAGCATTTTCCTATCATATTAACTCGTTTAATCTTCATAACAATCCCATGAGGTGTTATTCCCACTTGGCAGATGAGGCTTAGAGAGGTTAAGAAATTTGCCTGGTGATGCACAGCTAGTAATTGGTAAAGCTGAGGTTCAGACTTAGGCAGGCAGACTCCAGAGTCCCTGCTTTTATTTAATTAATTAATTTATTTATTTAGGCTGCACCGGGTCTTAGTTGAGGCATTGTGGACTCTTAGTTGCGGCAGGCATGCGGGATCCAGCTCCCCAACCAGGGATTGATCCCAGGCCCCCTGCATTGGGAGCGTGGAGTCTTACTCACTGGACCACCAGGGAAGGCCCCAGAGTCACTGCTTTTAATCACTGAGCTATGCTGTCTCCAAGAGAACTTCAGAGTGACCCCTGATGGATGTCTGTTAACGTAAGAGAGGGGCATAGAGCTCAAGGCAAGACAGGAGGCCAGAGCTTCAGAAGTATAGCTGATTGGGAGATGGGAAGGGGCTGTAAAAAGAAACTTATTCATACATTGCCTGTGAGGCACACTCTGGCTTGTCCGGCTCCCCACTCCCACTTTAGTTTTGGTCTTCTTTTGTACCAAACTGTTAGTCATCGCTGGCTGTAAGTGCTTGCTGGGTGACTCCTTTCTGCAGCCCTTGGGTCTGGATTTTTAAGTAAGTTTTTTCTACAAAAGAGTTTGAAGTATTATCTTTGCAATGTTCCCCCTAAATAAACTCTTCTTCCTAGCCCTCTGCCTTCCAGAGATTCCCCCTGCAAAGCCTTTACCCAGCATGCATGTGCAACGTCACGAAGGCCTTGTCTCTTCTCACGCTCCTGATGTCCACAGAATTAACACCGGCATCCACTGGCGATGCTGATGCAGGGCTCCCAGGGTCAAGATTCTCTACAAAGTCTTGCTCGGAGGGAGCTGTGCCCTAGAGAACTTGCTCCTCTGTAAAGGGTCTTCGTCCTTTGTGAGCTGATATTTGTGCAATTTATTTTTTTAAAGAAAAAGCCTTTTTCACAGACATTGTTTCATGGGATCCTCCAAACTACTCTGTGAGGTAGAAGGCTGGGAAAAGATGATAGTCTTTGGTTGAGAGGAAACTGAGGCACAGAGAGGTCATGTGACTTGCCTAGCATCATATGCTCAGGATGGCAGAGCCCAGGCTCAGTCTCAGCTGTCATGCCTTTTGGCAAGTTATGGTATCTCTCTGGACGTTGCTTGTCTTACCTATAGAATAATGGGATTAGAATAGGTGCTCTGTAAAGGTCTTTCCAACGCAAACATTTTGTAATACTAAAATTCTGAGGAATACTTTCCGCTGAAAGATCAGGCCATCAAGCCTTCTGAAGTTCATCTTATTTGCCTCCATCCTGGAATATGACTTCATTATCTCCCAGTGAGCAGGGAGTGTGTCTTTCCTGTCTTCCTCCTTGTATCACAGAGAGAGTGTTTTTTGGAAGGGCTTCCACCCTTATACTCCTCACAGGTATCATATAGTTTAGATGGTGAGATACTGTTATAAACATAACAATGAATTTGCTTCAAAACCTGTGGATTTCAACTTTTCAGTGAGCTCTACAACAGTAATGACAGCTGAGATCAGTAGAGCAAGTGCTGTGCATCTGACAAATGCTTGACATGTATTATATATTCTTCACAACCACCTAAGAAGGTAGGTATTATTATCATTATTGCCATGTTACAGAAGAAGGGGCGGGCTTGGAGAAGTAAAAGAACTTACTCAGGATCAAAGAACTATCGGGTGATGGGCTCTGGATTCAAACTAATGTAGTTTGTCAGCAGCTGTTAAATGCTGCGCCAGACCACAAGGCTTCTCCTAGGAGAACAGGGGATTGGTATTATACACACGTGCCTTTTATTCCCTTACAAAAAATTCATTTTGTAATACTTAAGATAGAAAAAAGGCACATTATGCACAGATAGCGTTTCCTCCTTTATTCTCTCTCTCTCTCCAACCATCTGTCCATCTATCTCCCACTGTCTGCCAAGCACTGTTCAAACATATAAGCATATATAGAGAGATATAGCAACAAATTCCTCCGGATGGAGAGAGTCAGGAGGAAATTAAGACAATGTTAGAAAAATTAGTACAAGGTTATTATTCAGTGCCACCTATGTGTCCGGCACTGCGCTGGGCAAACCTATGTAAAGAGATGTACCAGAAGACCCTGCCTAAAGTAAACCACACAGAGAGAGGAAAATCACTTGGTTTGGTTACAAAGAAATGAATCTGTTTACACAGATAGTGTAGAAACTAATCTCATTATTTAGAATCGTATTTTATAAGCATCACAGATAAAAAGCAGATAGGGTGGTGGGCTTTGGTAGTGGAAAGGACTCGATTCTGGGAGGTAGTCATCCTTTACTCAATCAAGCGCTTTCTAAGGGCTTTGTCCAATAAGGTGGGGAATACTTCTGAAAACCAGGTGGACAGGTCGCTGCTCTTCTGGAGTTTATAGTCAGTCAGGTAAGAATATTCTTGCCCTGAGTCACACTGCCAAGGTCTAGCTATACGACCTTGGACGAAAAACTTCTCCTGCCGCTATTTCGTAAAAGAAATGGGGTCAGACTAGCGACCCTACCACTCAAATCCCGGCCCAAAGCGTATCCCTGGCCGCTGTTCCCGGAGGAGAGCGGGCGAGACTCCCGCTCGATGCTCTGCGGCGAACCTGACGGCGGGGGCGTAGGTCCGGGACAGAGAGCGTTCGCGTTCCGAAAGCGCTTGTCCCTCGCGGCGCCCCGTCGCCCCGCCGCCGCCGCCGCGACTCGCGGAGCCGGAGGAGGCGGAGCAGGCGCTGTCCCGGCTCTTGAGCAGGGTAGCTGCTGAGGAGGTGGTGCGGCGGGCCCGGGAGGCCGAGGTTCGGGCGGGGCGGCGGGAGAGGCTGGCAGGCGGCGCCGGCAGCGTGGGGAGAGCGGCGCCGCGGGCTGGGCGCTCCGGGCGAGAGGAGTCCGCTCCATGCGTGCGGGCCGAGGCCGGCCCCTGCGAGCCGCAGACATGAAGAAAGACGTGCGGATCCTTCTGGTGGGAGAACGTGAGTCCGCGCGCCCGGGCTGGCCGGGACTGGCCGCGGCCACCGCAGCCCCTGCCGCCCCACTGCCCTACCTCCGCGCCCCCAGGCCTCCCAGCCCCTCCGCTCTTCCCTTTCGGCTGCCCGCAGGCGGCCCTCGATCTCTCACCTCACCTGGGCCCTCCTGAGCCCTCCCGTCCTCTGTCCCCCCGTCATCACCCTCAAGCCGTGTCGCCATTAGCCTCTGACCGCCCGGCCTCATCCCTCCGAAGGTCCTCTCCTTTTTCTCTTGGAATGCTCTCCTCCCGGGCCTCCGCGTTTCCGAGGCCGCCTCCTCTCAGACCCTTTCGTCTTCCGTGGAGATTCCCTTGTCTCTGCCAGGCAGGTGCTGGAACAGGCAGACTGACCAATTGGGATGGCGTGAACTGGCTCCCGGGGAAGCTAGGGGGAGGGGTGCAGAACTGTTCGACTTGTGGGCAAGGTCAGGTGTCTGCATGTTTTTGCGCTCGCGGTGTTCCCTCGCTCTAGGCATTGACTGTAAGGCACGGAGCATTTTAAGCGGTATTTGCTCTTTGCATTGGAATAACTCTAGGTACACTCGATGTTTCCTCAAAAATTTACTCTCAGCTTCAAGTTATACAAGTGCTCAATGAATGAATACTTAAATGGGGAGGGTCCTTAAGTTGAGAGAATTATTGTTATCCTAAAGCCTAGTTTCCCCCATCTTTTAAAACATTATTTCATAACTACTTGGTAATTAATTTAAAAATGACGGGCACACGTGAGACCCCCCCTCCCCCGCAGAGATTCTTAGATTTCACTTTTTGAAGATGTAATAAGGGAGACATGTCTTCTGTTCACTGACTTGGGGACAGAACAGCAGGGACTTCTTGATATTGTTCAAGTTACATGACTCAATTGGTAGGACTAAAATAAGAAAGTGGGCTGGGGAGGACTGGACCGTTTGTTTTAAAAGTACATTAGTTAATGACCTGACTTTGCTGTTTTGAACCTTTCTATTCTAAACCCCGTTTCATTCTAGAGTAGCCCCTCCAGGTCACTGTGATGCACTCCCAACGAAGGAAGTGAACACATTTTTACCCTCTTCTGTAGTGTTCTTTGCTGTTCATGGAAACCTCTGTTCACCTGCTATTGTAGAAATCTTCCTTTAGAATCAGAATTTAGAAGTAAGCTTAGCCAGACGCAGTTTACTTTTTGGTTTGCAGTTGTGAATTTTAGTTTTAATTTATAACAACACATGTATCAACCTGTGTTTTGCATGGACTTCTTGACAAAGTTCAGGAATATGATTCTTGTTGATGCATTTGGAGCAAGGTAGGGAAAGTGAGTAGATGTCCCACTTAAAAAACTGATGGATAAAAAAAATTTTTTAAAACAAAAATTCTTTGTTTTGGTTTTAGTTTTGAATATAGGGAGCAATTACATATAATCAGTAGTCTGTAAAACATCTGAATTGAAGTGCTATACATATGTGAGATATATTGTCAGCCTTAGGACATTTAAGCTAAAAGGTTAACAGTATTACTTATTTTGAAATACATAAAAGACTTAAAAATTTGTTAGAAAAATTACGAGCCATATTCTGATGAATTGAAAGCAAATAATAGAATTGGTTAGAGTGTATATGTGAGAGTTTTTAGATAGGGAGAAACTTGACACAAGAGAAAGCCTTCGTTTTTGAGGAAGACATTTTTCTTAAAGAGGATGGTACCGAAAACTTTAGGCCAAGTTTATATACGTGATTTTTTTTCCACATTTAAAAGTATGAGAAATGGGCTCCTCTGGTGGCGCAGTGGTTGGGAATCTGCCTGCCAATGCAGGGGACACGGTTCGAGCCCTGGTCCGGGAATATCCCACGTGCCGCGGAGCAGTTGAGCCCGTGTGCCGCAACTACTGAGCCTGTGCTCTAGAGCTCGCGAGCCACAACCACTGAAGCCTGTGTGCCTAGAGCCCATGCTCCGCAACAAGAGAAGCCACTGCAATGAGAAGCCTGCACACCTCAACAAAGAGTAGCCCCCACTCACCGCAACTGGAGAAAAGCCCGTGCGCAGCAGCGAAGACACAACGCAGCCAAAAATAAATAAATTAATAAAATAAATTTTAAAAATATATGAGAAAGAGCTACACTTACTTGGAATATATAATTTTAATTAGTTATAGTAAAGGGTTGTATGCTGGGGGGAAATGACTGAAGCATTACTTTTTGAGATTTAATGTAAGCATCTGACAGCTACTTAGCCTAGCTGTAGTACTTTAAATGCCAGGTAAACAATAAGTGTGACCCAAACTATTTTGATACTGGTCTGATACACAGATTTATCAGGAAAACCACTTTTTAAAATTTTATTTATTTAGTTTTGGCTGCATTGCGTCTCCGTTGCTGCGCGTGGGCATTCTCTAGTTGCTGTGAGCGGGGGCTACTCTTCCTTGCGGTGCGCGGGCTTCTCATTGCGGTGGCTTCTCTTGTTGTGGAGCATGGGCTCTAGGCACGTGGGCTTCAGTAGTTGTGGCACGTGGGTTCAGCAGTTGTGGCTCACGGGCTCTAGAGCGCAGGCTCAGTAGTTGTGGCACACGGGCTTAGTTGCTCCGCAGCATGTGGGATCTTCCCAGACCAGGGCTCGAACCCGTTTACGTTGCATTGGCAGGCAGATTCTTAACCACAGTGCCACCAAGGAAGCCCAGGAAAACCACTTTTTAAGGAAGAAGTCATAATAATTCATTTGTAGTTTTAAGATGGTTAACTAAGGGAAATAGGAAACGAAAAGAAAAAGGAGCATCGTCTCTGGAGTTGTTGTAAAGCCTGTTCTTTCTCAATCACTTCAGTACATTTTATTGCTGTTAGTGTCCGTCCCTGAACCACACAGCAGCAGCTTCATTCACTGAGGCTCCCAAGCAGTTGTGAGCAGTTTCAACATTCTGTTGGCTTAACCTATACTGTACTCTGGAGGTGAAATGGATCTTTTCTTGACCCATCCAGAGTTTGGATTCTGAGCCAGCCAGGCTTTAATGCTAACTGGTTGCTGAATGTCTGTTGACTGCTTAGATCAGAAAAGTTAGGCTGTCTATAAATTTTAAGGTGTTTATTTGCAGAGAAAGCCAAAGTATTTTAAGTATCTTCTTCACCTTACCTTAATTATTGAACATATTGAATGCTATTCAGGCCAAATTAAAAGTTAATTACCATTCTTTAAACAAAATTAAAAATTTAAAAAAATTCAACCACATGAAACTTAGTTCTTCAGGTTATAACTTTCCATGGTCAATTTCATTGGCCAGAATTTGCATTTAACTAGATTTGCATTAGTATGCTTAACAGATGTCCTTGTTATAATATGAGGAATGAGCCTTATTAACCTTTTATCTAAATCCTGTAGCTGCATTAAAAGTACACAAGATAGGTGCTTCCCTGGTGGCACAGGCCCGCGTACTGCAAAAAAAAAAAAAAAAAAGTACACAAGATAGTCTTAGTTTTAGTGAAGTCTTGTTTTTAAATTAAAGATATATTTGTCTTCTGGTCAAATTAATTAAGAAAGTGGAACTGTTATCCTCTTTTTAAATGAGTCCGGTATCTCTTACGCAGTTTGTCTAACTGCTTGGTTTATCATCGAAACTTCTGCCAAACTAGCTCACACTTTGGTTGGCTCTGGCCTAGGCTTTTGTAATATCTCCTTAACTGGTATCCCTGCTTCTAATTTCGTCCGTTCTCCATGTAGCAGACAGAGTCATCTTTAAAAAGTATCCCAGATCGTGTTACCCATTTAATTCTCTGATATTTCTACTTTCACTTAAAGACCATTCAATTTTTTTTTTTTTTTAACTTTTGGCTGCATAGTGAGGCGTGCGGGATCTTAGTTCCCCAACCAGGGATCGAACCCATGCCCCCTGCACTGGAGGTGCAGAGTCTTAACCCCTGAACCACCAGGGAAGTCCCAAGGCCATTAAACTTTTTAATGCAGTCCTGCAGAGTCCTTCACAATCTGGCCCTTGCTTTGTTCTTGTACTACTCTCTCCTTTACTTTGCTTTCTCTATAAGAGGGCCCTGACCCAGGCATTATCCCTACTTCCCTGCATATTTGTTCACTTTTTTCTGTTGTTACTTGGGCTAGAAGCTAAGCTTTGTAGGGGATTGGTCTTGTTTATTGCCATTTCCCCAGGCCTAGAGTAGGCCAGGCACAAAGTAGGCACTCAAATAGTTGTTGAAAGAATGAACGAGTTCAAGCTAGTTTAGTTTATTTAGTTTATTTAGACTTTCCTTGTTTTCCAAACCACTCCTCTTAGTCATAAAAATGTGATCATTCTCCTTTCTTAAAATCTGGTCTGATGTGGTTATTGTTAGGATTTGAAGGGGCAGCATTCATCCAGTCTCTTGTCCATGTTCTTACCTTTATTTTGTTGGGGAGATTCCTGTGTTCTGGCAATGAAGTAGACCAGTGACTTATAATGGCAATGCCATGTCTAGTTCATGTCTTGGCTGCCAGGAATTATAGTCCTTGCCAAAAGAGGTCAGCTTCTCCTTGAACCACCAGAGGCCATCTTGGAGGTTTAAAGGAGTTAGAGAAAGATTCTTTAGGTATAAGAGTCAAAGACACTTCAGGAATAAGCTAGCATTTATTTTGGAGAAAAACTTTCTATGATCTTTTTAAAGCCATATTGCTCTCCATTCTGGTCTTTGTTAGAATGATATTTGAAGATTAAACTGCTCCAGTTTCAATTATACTGTGTCTGGTGATAACACAACGCAGTATGGTACCTACTATCACCTGGGTGATAGTACCTGGGTGATTGGCCGTAGAAAGTCCATTCTACATAGCCTATTCTATTCATATAGAGAGTCTCTTCTACATCATCCTTACATATGTACTGAGACCTGTTCTCTGCTGTCTTTTCTGCTCTGCCGGCACCAGTTGGGCACTAGTGTTGACGTAGTTTGAAGGAGAGGGATAGACCATAGCATTTGTCCTTCTGCAGCCCACGTTGTCTGCATATGGTTGATGAAATTTTCC